GTCGCTGTCGCTCAGGTCCGGCAGGATTGATATATTCACATCAATCACGGTCGTTATATTTAATCTCAATGAACCGGAAACGTAGTCAAAATCACTCAAGCAGTCCAACAACCTGACTTCGTATACTGAAAACTAAAACTACGACCTCGCTCACGCTACCATCAGTGGTTGTAATCCTCTGTGATGACAATCCTGAGAGCTACACTATGTCCAGCCTGACTGAAATTTTATACAAATCGTTATTTTTAAGTGAGTATCCAACGTCTTCTTCACACCATACACAAGCACAGAGCCTAGACACAAAGTTCATCTAGTGATTTCGCATGCCTACAACTACATTTCGGAAGTTATTACAGCCATAGCCCTCATAGCCTCTGACTATCTTTCATTTACAGAAAGAGCTAAGAATGAGGAACATGCATTTGCCATCAGCCGTCACTAATATATAAAACAAGGGTCCTTGTCTATTGTCAATGGAGTTGAAGATTGAACGATCAATTCTTGGTTGTTTGCTCAAAATCAACTTCCCCAATTTTCGCGGAGGCATCAGTACGACAGTCATCGTCTCATCGGTCGCTGTTCAGAAAGAAGAGTGAAACATCGTCAGAAGTAATACAATGATTTATTATTGTAATATTTGTTTTCAGACCTTAGTTCACTTATTCTTTTTATATGTTGGAGTAACAATAAAGAAATATCAAGCGGCAGATCGGTGTTTTGGTTTTTTCGTCCGTTATAACTAAGCGTTTCTGAAATCTTCGAAGAACAGCGTGGGCCCGAGCGTAGCGAGAGCTGGGCATTAACGGTTTATGAGACGTGATTGGCATCTATCTTATTAGAAGCACTAACCACAGGATATTTTTATTACTGTTTATAACAGTCACTGTTTCTTCTGTTTCTTTGTCCACTTTTTGATAGAATTCCAAGCCTACTTACTAATGTGCTTGCGCCAGCACACACAAACTGAGAAAACATTGGTTCCTGACGGTTCTCTGCAGCATTTTCCACCATTTGTTCCCATTTTATTAGCTGTGTTTTTCAAAGTATAAAGAAAATTTAGGTCTCTGTATTGGTTCGTACATCCTGGGTCCATCGGGCGACTCACAAAATCGCTCTATCATCGTTAAGTTCAATTTTTAAGGATTATAATAAACGAGCGGCAAAGACCCGAAAACTTTATTCTAGCTTTCAAAGGGTTCATGAAATATATAATTTGCCAATGGATATCCTTCGACGTCAGAAGCGCGACGGCATATCTGGTTCCATACTCAAAGTAATGCAGCAACGTTACAGGACGCTGTCCTCCATTCGCACCTGACAGTATACGTAGAGATGAAATTTTTGGGTAAATTTCAAACATTTTGCTGGTTCTCCATGAATGTTTTTAGTTCACATCTCATTTCCATAGCCATTCGACCGATTACTTTTTCCGAGGATAACTAAGTTTAAAACTTGACATAATTTATGTCGTTCAGTAATTTCTATACAGCAGCGTTTTAGACACTGGCAGTCTATGTGAATTGGCATGCGCGAAATTTCCATCCACTAAAATGGGAACATATTTAGTTGGCTTTCAACAAACCACCATGGAATTCTTGAGGGAAATGAGGAAAAATGTCACATGATGTACTTCAGATTATCACCTTGCATGTAAATCCTGTATAAAGAGGAAGTAATTTGGAACTGAACATGCTGAAAATTTCTCTGTTATATGTTCACCTACTGTCCAAAAGCAACCTGCTGTAGACAATCCCTGTCGTGGCTGGGGTGTTTGCTGTCGGACAGAAGACTGGGGAAATACGACAAAAAATATTTTACCCTACTAATGGTATCACCAACTGTGAGTCATGTAGTCAAGGTGCTGTGTTAATTAACTTTCTATACTGCTTAAACTCGGTTGATCAGTAAATTTTCCAATTACCATCCGTCTTTTATTACCGCCTGCGTTTGAATAGGTTGTTTGCAATAAAAGTAAAGTAGTATTCTGATTTCCAGAAAGTTATGTTTTGGCTCCTTCAAATTTTCGTGATACCCGCTATAGACAGTTATGATTCTCTCCTTCATTTCCCCCTTGTCTTAGACCTTCAAAATTATTCAGTCGGTGTTGCGACAGGATTCCAGTGCTTCTACTTGTTGTGTCATGTATACCTCCGCGATGAAAGACTTGGTTAATACTAAAAGTAATAAAGGCAGACAAATGTGGAATATTCACATCCCTTTATAAACTGTTCGCACCGCTAAATTCTCTCCGTTCGGCGTTGTCGCATTACACTAAGCTAGAACCACGATCAGCTCAAGTTCCTGTGGCTCAGCATGTTGGCCCGTGTTTTGAAGGCCCTATCACAAATCTATAGGTCTGTTTCATAATTGAATTGCGTCTATTTTATGAACTCCTAGCGATCTCACACCAGCTCCTCAATGAGTAGACTTCAAAAAGCCTAATTTTTTGAATTTATCTGTAGGAATAGTAGTAAGCTGCAAAGTATGAAGGGTAGTTGCCGAAAAATCCGCTTCTTAACAGATCTAAGACAGCATTTCGCCTTCAGACCCAATCGAGATGGCTCACGACCAGCTTGAAGAAGAGAGTAACAAGAGGTTATTCCGGTAATCTAGTCTCGAAATACAGAAGCGTATGAATTAATCTGGAAAGATTCAGTCAGGCCGGTAGTCATGTACAGTTGCCTGAGTGAGGTTTCTAATCGGGGATTGATATCGGATAAAGTCTTTTGAAACAGACATTTCTATCAAAAATAATTACTTAGACTGCCTACCAACGACCTGTAATGTTGTAGAAGACCAGTGGTATTTATAAAACTGTTTCCAAAAGGACGACTGGGAGCACGTGAAATGGGTACTATCCGGCCGAACGAAAGGAGGGACGTTCATAATTCAGTAGATAAAGAAAGCCTTACAAATCATAAAGAAGATATAGTCTTTGCTCGGTTGCTCGTTCTATTCTTCTGTGTTAATTAATCGCTTCAGACATCTGAGTGGCCATAGAATACGGTGTTACAGATTTCCTAAATGGTCGCAGTCAGTCTCCACGTAGGTGAAGGAGACAGTTTCAAGATAAAACATAATGGAGTTGTTTGTGCATTACAACGAGGAGATTGAAACTTAAAGGGCCTGCCTAGTGATGAATACACTTGAGAGAACCTTTAAACTAAGGAAGCATTGAATATGATCCGAACAGCTCAGAATTCGTATACCACCTGGTATCCACTGTCCGAAGAATAGCTGAATTCACCAGCAGTCTCATTAAAATTGCATGAGGAATAGATTATGAAAGAAATGTTATTTGTAAATGTCTCTTTTTGGGGTTTACACCTGGATTTTGCAGAGGATTATTTATTTGTAAGATATAATTTCTGAAATGAATGATCTAAGTTTTGGCATAATAACGACATTGGTGATTCAGCAGTAGAATGCTTGCCCACAACGCATGTGAGGGAGGTCCAGCTAGCAGCCCGACGGCGTAGAAGAAAATAATGATAGCAGTACTGAAGGTCAAAGCCCTACGCTCCACCCAGAACGCAAGGGAATTATGGCGAGATAAAAAACCTCTATCTGCACCATTCATGCAGCTAGTACCTGACTTTAACATATATATTTTCTAACATAGGGTTCATGGAAGTGAAGATTTGAGGGATAGGGATGAGAAAACCTAGTTTTATCAAAGAGTTCTTCATCAGTTTGGGACAAGGTGCCACTACATTTCTAATGTGTCGATTCACCACAGAGTCAATAATTCTTGAACCCATGCAACAGAATACTGCGAATGACTATAGTGCGCAGTATATACTTAAATAGTAGCCCAATTGAGGGCTTCAGTCTAGGTAATGTCAATTTTGTAGCTAACTGATTCGATGGTGGATGGTTTGAAATTGTCTAATCAGAAGCTTTGCATATGCTGAATCAGTTGGTGGGGACTATAATTTCACCCACTTGTGCGCGTGTTAGCTCTGTTCACAGGAGCTTCCGTCAATATGGCAATGCTGCTTGTGCTGTTCTGGCTCATAGTGATGCGATTGGCTGGTCTCGTATGTATGATGACTGAAACTATGTCTGACTGTGCGTTGCATGACTTAGTGACGCTAACATGGCCCGGAGTAACTGTGCTGTCTATACACAAAGATATTCACAATGATGCAAACTATTTCCCAGTAGAAAAGGCACCTGAATGGTTGCTCGACATGATCATACGGCATTCAGTTTTATCTTGAAGAAAGCATAGATAAATGTGTTTGGCTTCCCGGGAAACCGAAACATAGTTGCCCTATGAAGTGGGTGTATATTTTGCGAATAAACTGACTGATACTGCCAGTAGTCATATGCTGTTAGAGATGAAACCATGCGCGTCTAGGTACAATGTGGGACGGTGAACCTGCGAACTGATTAATAAAACAGCTGTGATTCCTTAACTGAAATATATGTTCCGTGGGCAGCTGTAGGAGTGTTAGGGCTAATGAAGTGTGTGGATATTTCGCTAAATAACACATCGTCTCAAAATAGAGAGAATGATAAATCAAGTGCGTGCAGCAGAGTTTTGATAATCTGTACACTCTCTGGAAAGTGAAAGGTAATCGAACTGTCTTATTTTTCTCTTGATTGTATTATTGTGCAGCATATTTGATATTTGCAGATGGACTTTCTGGTTGCCTGTCCAAATGCACATTTTAATGTACCCAGTGTATCTTCCCCACAAGTCAACCAAAATGAGGATCATGCCTGTACATCCCTGGAAATATTGGCTAATGACAATAAGTGCTTATACTTGCGGAAAGCGAGGGAAACTCGGTGGAGTAATACAAAGCACGAGATATATGACCATACATACATTTACATATATGTATATGGTCATCCACATAAAATATTTTGTGCAACAGTAGGATTTAGGTGATATGTAACAAAAAGCTTCAGCATTCCAAGTTTACATATAATATATTTGGAAACTCTAAATAGGATGACGACATAATATTTAAGCGGTGACCAAGAGGTTCAATGTTTTATGCGGAATTTCAACTACGTTGCTAGTGTAAATTATAAATTGATTAGGCATGTCGGACTTTACATGGGAGGAAATATCTAAGATTAGCGAAGATGACATAGACATAGACAACGCAGATTACTACTGCGAACTTTTTGGAAATGTACATTTAAATTTTTTAATAATAACTTTACAGGGAGATGTAGGAAATTGGGATGACAAGGATAAACTCAAATACGTTTTTCAAATAATGCAGGTCCTTCTCAATCTGAAGTGGGAACAGTGGAAGTTTGCAGAATCAAGCTTAGACGATAAGAATGGAGAGATTGACAATCTAAAAGACCAAATAAAGGAATTGGAGCACGAGAATAAAGACCTCCAGAAAGCTGTCTCTGCTTGCGGTCTTGATAGAGGTAACATTGGAGAAGCCAGACGACTAGAATTTGCGGTGGTGAAGTTGGAATCCGAATTGGAGTCTTTAAGAATAGCTAAAGATGTCTCATTCAAAGAAAAGGAAGAATTGATGAATGAAAAGCGTGAACTGGAACGCAGAATAGAGCTTATTTCTAAGGAAAATAGAGAGCTTCTGGAACGTTATGAGTACCTACATATACAGCTCCAGGATCGCTCTAGCCTATATGGTAAATCTAACGAAGAGGCCAGCTATAGGAAAGAAATTTCCTCATTACGTGCAAAAATTCGAGTCCAGAAGGCTGAGATAGACGTAAGAATTTTGTTTATTATCTTTTTTAAAGGCATTAGAAGACGAAAAACAAAACTTGTGGAATGATGTGAAGCGTCTTGAGAGCAATCTGAAGCAAGCTAGCTTGGAGATTGATCGAGCGACAGATGACTACGTTCGCATGAAAGAAGCATTGACTGAAGCCGACAGAAGTCATGCTGAGAAAACAGCTGAGTGCAATCTTTTGCGTGCACAAGTGGCCAGTCTTTCAGAAAAGATTGACCACCCCGAAGAAGCGAATGACTTTATCATGAACGTTGTTGAACAGAAGATAGAAGAATGGAAAGAGGTACTTAAAACAAACGTTTAATGATTTTTAGATTTTGGCAGATAAGGATATGGAAATAGTAAAGCTTAATAAACAGTTGAATGAGATATCTCAGGAGGTACGTGATTTGAAAGCTGATTCGGATAAGACGAGTGTACGAGCATTAGTTCAAACTATAAAAGACCGTGATGGCCAAGTAAGTTGCTTAAATCACATAGTGTGTGTATAATTTTTTATAAATTAACCAAATGTTTTATTCCCTGAATTTCGTGTATTACACTACAACATATCTATCATAAATTCATGTACACTACAATTCCTGGTTTGTTTCCATGAAGACTATGGTCCTTTTGTCCTTAATTCAAGCGATTTATTAATTCCAGTTAAATAATTAATTTAGGTCACTCTTCTTTTAATACAGCGACAAAAGGTAGACCTGAATCCTGTAAAATAACTCTCTGGCTGAGTTTAGTCTATGAAGAGTGCTAAGTAACACGTCTATAGCTTATTGACAACAACTTGTGTGGATTTACGTTCTATCATTCTTCCTCGAATGATTTTTAATCATCTAGAAGACGAAGTGGTGAGAAAGCAGCAATAGGTGGAGGGAGTTTTTCGCAATATGATATCACATCTGTTTTATCTTAGATGACACCTTTCAAAATTATCCATTAAAAAAAATCACAATCAGCCATTCCATAATTTTATAAAATCATAAAAATGTCATTATGGTTACATTACAGCCTAAATGTGGATAAGACATTGATACGTTGTAAATGTTAAGAGTAGTTTTGTACTGTCTTACTTTCCATTCAGAGATTTTGCTTAACATGCCAACCCCTGACGAGGTTATAACTTCACAGATGGATGAAAATAGAAGAATGAATCCAGACTGGTTGCATGATTTGATTGAACGCCATGAGTGTCTTGTTAGATTAAGTAAATTTTCAGAATGAAACAAACAGACGGAGACGTCGAACCACCGAGAATACATAAAAGCACGAAAAACCGACTTCTTTGGGGTTGATTGATAAAATCAAAAAATACATCGTTTTGGGATCTACTATACTGCAAATTCTACCGAATACAAAATCCATTCACCAGTTTAGTTCTGTGAACCATGTTTTTATTCTAAACAGTATGGCCACAATTAGTTCGGTGAGCCGGTTGAATCCAAAAATACTATCCTTATTCACCGGCTCATTATGATGGTTTAATTACCCCTCTTAATAGTCTTGTGATTTAAAAAAATAATACCCTCACATTTTTTGAGTGTATTTTGGTCTGACACTTACCACTTTCCATATTTTCACTTGATAGTCTACTGGACTCAGTATTCAACGTGTGCTGTCTTTATAGTTTACGGGTATCAAATAGCTGGTAGCACGGGTTTGGTGTGTGGAAAATTTGTGTAATTCATCTCTCAATACTGGAATGCTTTAGCGTGTCGAAATATGTTTAATGAAGTTTATTTATTCACTCTTGATCATACGAAACTTTGTTTTCGGAGTTTCCTGGAGACTTAGTTAACCACTATCTTCATTTGACTTCCAAGTAAATACCAATCAGAATTATGGGTACCTTTGATCAATAAGCATCTAAGTTGAACGAAGTTATATTTTTCTTATTTACAGATACAATCCCTGAAAAATCAACTTACTGATGCTACAAATGAGGTCGAGAAGAGTACTGCCCTTCTAAAGGACTTTGCTAAACAGGCAGACGAAAATGAATTTGGTGGCAACAATCGCAAAGCTGATCGCATTGCGGTATTAAAGAAACAACTTCAGGAAAAAGATAACTTTAATGCTGAATTGGAGAAAAGATTGAAGCATGTAAGATTTCGCTAATTGTCCTACCATGTCTTTAAAATAAAGATACAGTTGCTTTCAGAATTCAGTTACTAAGCCCAGATTTGTGAATTCCTTGACATATTTATTTATACACATTTATTTATTCTTATGATTTCAAGATTTCGATTTTTGTAGTGATAATATTTAGAAAAGTATTCATCTATTTCATGCAATTAGAATAATTTCACCATGTTTAAAAATAATAATAAACTAGATATGTTGAGTATTTTGGTCCAGATTTAATAGGTTCACTTAGTCCAAGAGAGTAGGTAAAAGTTACACATTATATTAATTTATAATAGAAATACAGTCTCATCTTTTGTCCAATGCCAAAACTTGGGAAATTTTTAATTTGTGTGGACAAATTGAATGTAGAAAATGTGCGATAGTTTGGATGGTTAGCTTGTAATGATAGTCATAACTATTGTTTTCCAATCCACTTATCAGAAAGCAGATGGAAGATCAACCATGATAAACTATTTATTTAAATCATCATATGCAACTCATGAAATTAGTTTTTCGAGCCACTGTTGACTGTAAACAACATTATTTGAAAGTAATGAATGATTCCCAAGACAAGCATAGTTATTAACGTGCGCGCTGATTTTACCTGGCTCTTATGTTTAAGCAACGTAAAACTGTATCAAGGTGATGCAGTATTTGTTCTTCATATTTATTTTAGGTAGAAGAAGCTGCATATTTACAAGCTAATGAAATAACTGTTTTGGAAAAACAACTAAAACGTTATGAAGAGGGCGAATATGGTTTATCAGAAGCTATATCGGAGCTGAAAGCGACACGATTACAGTTAAACTCGAAAGAAAGGCAGCTGGAAGAAATATGTCGTTTAGCAAGTCAAGCTGAATCATCTTTGAATGAAATAAATCTGGAGAATGAACATTTAAGAAATAAATTAGGGATTCCACTAAATGAGACAATCGATTTGAACGGTTACAGACGTCAGAAAAGAGCAAAGAAGGAAGAGGAATGTGCTGTAAATATAATTTTACAGAAAGAAGTAAGTGTCTGCGTTCTGTAAAATGTTCTTTTTTAACTTACATAAGTAGCTTCTCCTAATTTCTGTTTTGTGATTCACGTACTCATCTAACTTACAAAAGACTGAATCGTATGGTTTTGACAGATACAAATTACCATGTTTATTGTGATTTTAATTTTTTTCCCGTAATGACTCGAACTAAACTGCAGGCTCCACTACTTGTGGTACCCTTCCGTCAATTCCTTTAAGTTTAAGCTTTGCAACCATACTTACCCTGGATCCCAAAGACTTAAACGTTTTCTGGGAACTGCCCTTAATGTCAATTATAGGACCATCTCATGTCGTCAGCCGCCATTGTTTACTGTCAGAACTATGACGATATCTGATCGTCTATGAAACTCTGACTCAATGAAAACACTCTTGGGAAATACTTTTTCCGTAGTTTTTCTGGTGGTGACCACAGAATCCCAACTCTAACGCTGCTATACACATGCACCATTACTTCGGATCCAAAAGTCAACAAAACAGAACTGAAGTCCTGTGTCATTATTTCAGACAAGAATTTCTAGGCACAAATGCCTGCCTTGAGCATTTAAATTTGTTCAAAGTAAATATGCCGTTCACTCCCGATACCCAGTCAAAGGAATCCGGTGGATTCCCAGCAGGTAGTGGGCAACAGAAGCTCGACGACCTGTTAGCACCACATTACACAAATACGACTGAAAGCCTGCACATCCCTACACTGAGCTTAACACAAGTTCTGGTCGTAAACAAAACGATGAGTAAGCAACGGTATGCAACCACTTTTAAAAGATTGTTTCCGTATATTTCTAATGAGCAATCAAAAAGTGACTTTTCAAAACTCTACTTTGAGCTGTAAGTTATGCTTTAAAGCCAACATTACATGAGTGTCAAACTAACGTATTATTTTGAACAGAAGTGCATTAATCCAGATCATCACAAGTCAAAGGTAAGCGCGAAATAAAGTAGCACAAACATAACTACCGCAGACGAATACACCTGAGACAAAATGAATAATTTACTATAGATAAATATCTACGCAACCGTGTATCACTTTGAACCGTATCGCCAGTCTTCCCGTAACTGATTTCCAGTATTTCAAGGAACCAAATAGGTAACGTACTCCTTCCTAAGTGGCTGAAATCTTGTAGTAGGTGATCACAATATGTTTTTGATCCCCACCATCATAAAGAATCATTAGCCAAATATTCATCTATTCTTGTGATTGTAGTCAAATATCCTGAATTGATGCATATTTACAATTTCTTAAATTGCTATGCATTCCGAATGAAATTTGTCCCAAATAGGGCCATTGCATTATCAAACGGCGAATTTTCCGAACTGTATACACTGCAAAATTTCCTGTGGATAAATATAGCTGACCGTTTCTGTTGGCTGTAGAACTGTTATAAGGCGGAAAATCGATGTATAATAAATATTTGACTAGTATCATATCGTACGTCACTCATGCTTGCCATATTACAAATATTAATGTGAAAGCACGCTGAAAGTCAACTGTAATCATCTAAAGAACATCAATAGAGTGGTGGCTCACAAAATCTCTGGACAAAGAGAAAGGCTTGGTTTAGTATACCCAATGTGCCTTATCTTTGGAGCTTCTAGATAGCCGTAGGATGACGTGTGTGTTTGACTGCCGTGCTCTTCCTCGCATACAGCAACTGCGAGATATAGATGACGGAAATTGAAGATTGGGTGGAGGACTTCATCATGCGCTGACATCAGTTTGAGAACCATTGGAAAACCTGGCAGTACTAGACGCCTTTTTCGTCCTAGTTAGGAACTCTTCATCAGCACGCACCCACTTGGGTCCGAACCCAGGACGTTTTGGTTACAAGGTGAGCTCTCAAACCATTAAGCCACTAGGACTCGATCCAATGGCCAGTCCATGAATTCTTACTTCTGCCGATTCATGACATAGAGCTATCACTTCGCAGTGTCTTCTTCGATGAGTTACTGCCCCACCTAAAACCTAGTGTACCCTACTGGTCACAGCACAAGAAGATTAATGATTCTGGAAAAATATTTCTTGCCACAAATCTCTCGTGTTAGATAGGTATATATATCTAGGTTTAACGAATTGAGTTGTTCAGTGCTAGGTGAGGAAATGGAGCTTCGCTGACCGACTCAGCTGGAATGTAGTTTATCCTCGAAGATAAATGTTGGCTGAAATACAATCATATTGTAAAAGTGTTAGTGGCAGTCAGACGAAAACATAAGGTGTTTGGTTGTTGGTTCCAGAAACGTAGGGCGGTGTTGACTATCTGTCCTATATCTCTGAGATTTAAAGAATTAGTGGTGGGAGAATATTGATGAACTGTTTAAATGTGTTCTCAACTACACAGGTGTATTCGTCCACTTTCGTCCTCTAATTTCTCATTTTCAGTGTCTTGTCTGCCGTACGTCTTCATGCATTAAAATTGTATTGTATTACTTGTATCGACTTTTGTATCTTTCTATGGAGGATGAAAAACCTAAGTGCAGCACCCTTGTGCAAAGTTTTACATTGGCAAGTCATTCAGTCAGCACACAGAGCTCAGATGTTACTCATTGAATAAGGCTATTATAGATTCCTTGCTACAAAAGATTGAGATAGACCATACTACGTTGAAATTAATACTAGTTTTGAATTCATTTATTTCAGATCGAAAAGTTGGAAGATGAGAGGCTAGAACTAAAACGAAAGCTGCGTAACCTTGCGGGTCAACTAGGCCAACAGTATGGTTTATCAGATTCCCATGTTGATGGAGTACTTCTTGGTAATTTGACTCAGGGTAAGTCACATATAATTACAGATTTATTTTGTTTTATGTCAGAATCAGAGAGTAAATTATATTGCAGAGAAAAAACAAGGACCTCAGGAAAGATACCTTTATCGCAGTTTCACCTTTCAAATGTGTACAGTCACATAGTTCGTATAGTTGCAATTTATGATAATAAATTCACTATGGTAACGATAGGAGATTAGAGGAAATAATAATTTGCAACATGCTATGGAAGTTTGGAGGTGTGCATGGGCATAGAAACAAAATCATGTGGAATTAGAAAATAGTTACGCAATGCGTAAGATAGTTTTCAGCAAAGACAGGTATGAACGGGATATGCTTAGTAACTAGTCCAACTTCTATATTTACCAAGTCCTAATTATGTTCGGCTCTGAAGTTGTTTTTTCGTTTCCTTCATTCTTCATTTTCAGTTATAAAAATAATTATTTAAATTTGTTTCTGCACTCCATGTGATCGATGTTCATACCTTAAAACTCCCATGTCATGTTGAAAAATACTATTTTCTCCAATCTCCTTATGTTAGATAATTAGATAGTATTGTTGGTAACTATTTAAATTTATATATAAAAACGTGACTATACAGGCTTCAAGAATGAAATCTCAGAAATATATCTTCGTTGAGGTTCTCGTTCTCTTCTCTATAATGTCCTGATCGGTATTTTTCACGATATAAATACTCTTACGTTTGTCAGAAAATAAGCGTTTTTCTAAATGATTTAAAAAGTATATGCGCATTGGGGACTTTGTTAAATTAAGAATACTTTTTGATCAACTAGTTTGAATTTTGGTGGCACTTGCTCTTAGAAGCACATTTGAATGAATGAATTTCACTACACAGATCTTTACACACGTAGTCCAATTTGCAACGTTCATAAAACCAGATACAAATGTAGGAGGAGAAAAGAAATGAAAAGAAACTATAATGAACGGATATACACGGGAGGTAGAATAATCACATAGAAAGTGACAATGATTTGGTGGATGTGCAGCATCACAAATAGTGAATGCATTTGTGGCACAGAATGATTTTTAAGTTTTTCCCCAGCAGTCTACAGACATTGATTCTTAGCATATCGACAATTCAACCAGGCAGTTGATTGCTCCATACGTGGTTCAAAACAGCAGTCTAAGATTTTGTAGGTTGATAGCGTATCTCCATCAGACTACTCCGAACTCTGATGATATTAGATAGTTAAAGGCGATCGGCACGAAGCCTTCGACCTAGGTGTGAGTAACAGTTCAAATTATGTATAAAACAATCTTAAACCAATGTTCAATCATATCATACGATAATAAATAATTGGTATGCATGAGTCAAAACAGTTTCTGAAGAAGTCAAATATGGGTACATGAATTGATTTTATAAACGTTCAGTTAAAGTTAACATAGGGGCACTACTACCTCATTATTGCCAACTAACATGTAAGAAGAAACACAATTAATTACGGTCGGAGACAACTAGCCTTTCCATATCTCACACTTTAAAGACTGTGTTGCAACCATAAAGAAGGGCAAAGACAAGTGCTGCACAGTAAAAACTGATCACTACAATGTGGCCTGTAATGTTCGGCCAGACGAAAAAATCTAATTTGAATCTAAAAGTTGGAAGTACTCAGAAAGTAATCACCTGGCAAAACTAAGAACACTTTGTGGTACGTGAAATCTTTCTGTCTGCATGATGGTCAAGAAAAGTAAGCTTACATTAAAACCTTTAGGGATGAAGTGCTGAAATAATTCTGACCATCAATGACGGCCATGATCTTTTCTGGTTAATATTATGAAGGGTTTTCATATGTTGATTTCTAGCCAATGGTTGACCACACTTCTTCCGAAGGGAGTTTCAAAGTGAATTTATCAATTTAATCTAATAATTTTTCCTTCACGTTCCCAGTAGAACATAGGGCTTCAAGCTGGTGGCTTGAAGTTTTTGTAGCAGTGTTTATTTTTAAAGGATGGGGTTGCTAGTCTCATGCCCAACCTTCCCGCTTTACCAGCATTATTATTACTGGCTTAACGAGGTAAAGGAGTGCGTTTATTGCTGGGGATCGAACCCCGGACCATGTGCATGGTCGGCGAGCGTCCTAACCGCTGTGCCACCGATGCTCCAAGCGAATTTATTACGGACGTTGTTATAATTAACAAGTTTGAATTACACTTGTTCATATTTGACGTAAATGTGTGAAAGCATGTGTATATGATTTATAATTCAGCTTTCTAATTTTCTGATGTAATTTGCAGAAGGAGTATGAAAATAACAGTTTCTGCAATGAGATCTCACCTTATTGATTTGAATTTTTGATTTTCCCGTCGATTGATTGGACCGAAGTGCTCGGTCTCAGGTTGACATGTCGGCTTCTTGTGCAGATGCTTCGGTCGGTTCAATCAATCGACGGGAAAATCAAAAATTCAATTCAATAATTAATATGACCCTTTGCGCAAGAGGTGGCTGTCGTGGCCCAAGTGGTCTAGTGGATAACGCTTTGGCGTTTGAAACTATGGGTACTGGGTTCGAGCCTCGGCGGGAACATCATCACTCACTGAGAAATGCAGGTACATCCATCTGACGAGTCCCAAATAGGACGAAATGCGCATCCTGGATTCCACTGCTAGCCACCATCCACCATTTGTAGATCTCACCTTAGTTCATGAACAGCGGGTGTGTAGAAAAGTGTGAGATTATGCCTGGCATTTAGTGTTACAGTCATGCTATTTGAAAATTACAGATCAACAGATTTTTAATTAAAGAGAACGTTTCAGAAAGTAATTCAAGGAAACTAATTACAAGTTTACTAGCCCCCAGCGTTTGGATGTCTTGCATATTTTCGAAGCTATAGTGACCACCGTCAACACTGAAACTCGAAAGCAAAATTCTAAGGCTTCATTACTGCGTATCTTGCATTTGGGTATTTTGAACTTAAATTAATTTTTAATATTTTGCAACTATTTATGATTTAGCTGATGAAGAGGTAATATCTGCACGTTCTGCTAAAGCAGTCTCAGCCTCAATATCTGATCTAAAAGATAAACATTCAGCAGGTGAAAATGAGTTGGTAAATCTTCCAGAAATATGGAAGGCAAGAGTAAGTGCTATCCGATTATATATAGCAGAATGATCTGGCCTTAATATTTTTTTTATGTCTGTTGACTTTCAAAACGTTCACTTAAAAAACGTCGTTTATTGAACTCGAAGCTATCAGAAAAGGCCTGAAACATATAGTCTTAGCGAATGAGAAGATTTACCAATATTGATGAAAAATATGTGAATAGGAGATTAGAACACTGTACCCAATTAGAAGTAACTAATATTAACTAAATTAATAATTCCCACTGTTACACAAAACAAAGATTTCAGGGATGAAACTTCTCTACGCAAATATCGCATTTTCAGAGCTATACAATCGCCTTTAGAATAGACGACGACATGAATATTTACTGTTTGCATATTACCTGAAAAATAGTGCGTTGATTAAAAATAAGAGATAAAATTTTCTGAATAAATTGCACTTATCAAATACTGTTTTCCCTGTTAACTGAATGCTACCATCGAGTTTTCGGAAGTAATAAATTTTTTGAGAAGATAAACTTATTATTTAATTTACCACTACTTATGTGAATATTCACTGATTCGTATTTAGGCAATACTTATAATTTTGTAGTATGTTAAGTCTTAAAGCGTTTCAGTGTCTTTGGGTAGTTGGAGACAATCGAAAAGGGTTCTGCACCCAGGTTTCATGCATACTTGTGCTCGTCATTGGGTGCATATAAAATTTCAAAAGAAACGATGTCGGATTCTTGTTATCTATTGCTGAAGTCATAGATATTATAATTGATTCATTCATGTAGTATTTTAAGTACTATAGGGTAATGTGAATGGTCACTGGGGAGTGACGATAAATTATCACGTGTACTCCAAAGATAGCGCGAGTTTGGGAAAGCTAAACGAAGATTCTGTTTCTTTGTAGAGATTTCGCGAAAAACCCTCCGATGGTAAAGTTATAATTTATTTTTGAAAGAGTTTAATATCATTCCGATGAGTGAGGCTTCCTTAATAATGAACACATGAAAACTGCTGATTGTGTTTATGCAACTGTAAGTGACTGTATGATGGTGAATGAATTAGTTTTCACCCACAACATTTAATTTCAACATTTCAACTGTAGGATTATTAATCCACCTCTTATTGAAATATGTTTGTTTTGTCTCCAATAGATCACAGTTCATTTGCTGTTTTTCACACTGTTTTTGCGTGTTGTTTCTACTAATCATTTCCATTTTTGATTGAAATAGTTCAAAGTACTGGATGGTGAACTGGCTCAAGCCATTATGCAAATTGAAGAGGGACATAAGAAACAAGACAAGCTAGAAACCCGTTTGAAACAAATTACTGAAGCGAATATACTTTTAGAAAATGGTTTCAAAGAAATTCAAAAGCAAATACGCTCTTATGCTAAATCAAAGGATCAAGTTGACATGGGAAAGGCAGGACAACAAAATGAGATTATTAACAACTTGAAATCGACAGATGAAAATGTGGTACTTGACTGTCCATCTTTGGATAAGTTATTAGCTGCACTAGATGCAAAGAATATAGCGGACGATGTGGATACTGGAAGATATTTAAAATCTAGAGTTGACCACCTTGAAGTGAGTTTTATTGATTTTCTCAGTACCTCTTTAGTTTATCCAAAGCTTCTGCACGAGAATAATATGAATCACAAATCTAAGCTGGTAGTCTGATCTTGAGGCCCGTGTTTTTGTTGATGACTGAAAAAGGTGATCATCACAGAAACAACAAAGTTTAATCATACTTCCAAGCTTGCTACTAACTTTTACAATATGAATAGTTACAATTCACATACTGCTTATATTGATTCCATGACTTAGATCACTTTCAGTTACTAAACAATCAAACAGACTCTACTATACTCTTTCAGCAGTCGTTAAACTGGTGAAAAACTATGATAACTTGTCAGAGTCAGCATTACGATTGCCATGGGTGGAAAATTATTTTTGGAAGAAAAGCAAAATAGTAAACTATAAAGACCTTCGCATTGTTACTGTGAATAGGGAGTTCTGTCAGGTAAAGTACTTTGATATTCTTCTTTCTTATCTTTAGATGGTAGAGTACATTTATTAAATATTCAGAGCAACGAAAGCTTAACTGTGAAAAGTAGAACTCGGATTAGTAATAGTGTTTTTAACGAAAAAACTTTCTATTAGTGTTTTAAAAACTGCTACATGGAATACACTTATGCATTCGGGAAGTCTACGGCACCTCAATTAAAACACTTAAACAAATTTAAATATTTTGAATTGACACTAGGTAGTAATTAGTGTCATGCGTCCAGTCCTTCGTTTGGTGTAGACTGAATTCAGGGTTAAGAAGCATGCAAGTCAGTGGACTAATGGAGTGGATAGAGTGACTGGAATCAAAGACAACACAGAAGGTACATCCGCCACTGTTTCACACTAATCTATTTCTTTCTTCTACTTCTTTTTGGGCAAATTCATTTCAAGTTCACATCATTAGTTACTTTATGAAATGGTCTTGTGAAATGCGTCAGTTCGGAGATAATTACTTTCCATTTGTGTGCGTGATATGTAGCCCGATTTGTTTTCCTTATTTCTTCGGGATAGCATAAAAATATGATGAAACTGACACAAGTAGGACCAGTTGTATCCTTCCTTATTAAATTATTCGTTTTCTTTCCTTCAGTTTAAGGCAGCCTACAACAATATTGCCCATCTAACCACGATTCCTATCGAAACTCAATTATTTTCACTAACTTCGTTCATTTGTTTCCTGTTAGATTACTGAATGAAATTTAATTCAGGCATGAATTTGAATTACTTGTTTAGTGATCTTACTTGATGATGTTAGATGGTTAGAGGCAATCGGCACGAAGCCTACGACCTAGGTTTCGTGCTAGTTGGCGCTTGTCGGCAAGGCGTATCTGCAACCTCGAACGAACTCATGTCCCTTCTGAGATTCTTTCTTCTTACATTTTGTTGTATTCGTCTCTGTATTTCTCCAACAAATAAAAGTTTGGAGTACCTGAAATTTCTTAGGAAAAAAGATTTTGGTTGAAGAAATCTGTAGTTTACATAACAGTAAAAGATATGTAGCCAACAAAACATTCAAGGCCATGGTAGAAAGAGTTTATAAAATTACACAGGAAAAATGTACGTAATAGAAATGACCTTATTAACTTTTTAAGACTCTATCCTATCGACCTGATATTAATGCTGTTAGTACTATGCACGGTTTATCATATCAATTGATATGATTATGAACAATAAATTTTGTTCGAAACGTCATCCAGTAAATAATACTGTTTCACTGTGTGATACATCTAATAAAAAAACTAATATGAAATTACTTACTACCACAGTGCCCAAGTTTTACACATATATTAATGAAACTTCTTGTTATAGCGTAAAATGAATAGATAACACAGACTGTCTACTTATTCGAAAACTTTCTTCTAGGGAGCAAATCAGGAGTTACGTTTTCACCTGCGTGATACACGATTAAATAGCGCGACGAATGAGGTGAAACTGAACCAAGCATATGATCGAATTAAACAGCTTGAATCACAGCTTAAATCCCTTGATACACTGGATAATGATTTGTCACATCCAAATCAAGCATATCCCACCAATCAGATTTCACTTCCAAAAGATCTCAATCCTGATGCAGCTAAAACCATTCTAACACTGGAAGAGCATCTATTAACGATGGTGAAAGATATTAACGACAAAAATACACAACTGATGTCTTTTGATAAACAAATGGAAGGTGCACGAAGAAAGTATGCAGTTTGTAAACATCGTCAAGGTTTACTATACCGTGACTTTTATAATGAACGTGAGGTAAGTCAATGCAAGTAAAACATAACTTTTCAGGGTGACATACCATGAGCTACAGTAAATGTAATTTAAAAAATAAATTGATATTTGGAAAGGAACGCAGATAAACAACTTTGAAATTGTTTGTACAAGATAATTCATACTAAATCACTAGCCTCACTTGAGAGTCCTACTATTCTTATCAAGATACACACAATAGAATGGGTTTTGATATTGCCTGAGTAGATCAAATACACTTCCCAACAGGTTGCACATTTAGGCACAACATGAAAAAAACTGGGATTATGATGAAAAATACTGCTTTGATTATATATAATATATACATATATATATCCCTATTTAATCGAACTAATTGTACTTTTATTTTACTAGTCTAGAAAATGTTTTGATGATGGGAATTGCGAAAAGACAGAAAATTTAGAAAAGACTCCAAGAGCATTTATACAGATGATTAACGCGCATTTGATTTCCATCTTTTGATCACAGTTTGTTCAACTCCAAGATGAATATGTCTCTTTCCTTCATTCATGAATCAACTTCATATCTGATAGTTAATACTGCAGAATATCATCCAACCCCCTCAAATACAGATTGTGACTTTTAATTATGAAATGTAGAACGAAATTTGACGTTGTTATTTAATTCCAATAAAACTTGAACTGTTTAAAATTATATCACATGAATAAAATAAGTAATATAAATTCAGCCATTGGTGTAAGTTCACTGAATGGTGTACAGTTATAACTGAGGATAGTGAACGCAATTTCTGAAATATTTCACAGCATTTATCCTTCCTTCGTTTTATTTACTTACTGCCGTACTTCTAAGTGCTTAAGTAAGTTGAACTGATGCACCAAAGTTTCATGGATTATATGATATTCGTCATTCGATCTTTGATTATACAACGGTTTGACGGAATAAAATGCAATGATGCATTTGCCAGGTAAATCAGTATAACTGAATAAAATATGAGTTCAAACTACTTATATTTTTTACCAGTGTAGAAAATATTACGGAATTCCGAATTTAGTTTTAAACTTTGGAGATAACGCACATCAGTTAGGTGACGTTTATCTGAGGGAGCTAATTTTGATCTGAGAGTCGGTCATAGAATTTTGAGGCAAAATCTCTAATCATAAAAATTAAAACTCGCTATCTTTGGTTCGGTTTATTTAGTCCGTGAAATCGCAAAAACAACGAACATAAGAAGTATCTCCAATGGGTTTACTAGACATATATAGAAAAGGGAGCTGTCCATATGGGATGACCACTTATCTAGAATTGTTCACATTTGACGCTATCAGTCATCATTACTTCAAAAAGTAATAAGAAAGTAAATTTCGGTACTCACAGACAGTTGTATGTGTAGTTCTGTGTGCTTTTAATGATACTTCTACTCTTCAGTATTGTTCAGAATGCAAAAAAATATCATTACTGCAATCTCCATTAGGCTTGAAGTCACTTTCAGTTTCGACTATTTTGCTTAGGTAACTATCAGAATTCGATATTGAATCATTTTAAATTTGTTTTTATTTTTTTGCATAGGCTTGGAAAAAAGAGAAGGAAAAACTTGAACAACGTATAGAACGTTCGGAAACCAGAGCTAATGATTTGGAAGTTCATAAAACCGAATTGATACGTCTACAGGATATGTTATCAAGTTTAGACTCCTCTAGTGATAATAAAGAACAAAGTGAAAATTCATCTATTAAACAGAAGATTGCTGACCAGTCACGACAGTTATTATTACTACGTGTTAATGAAGCTGGTCTCCTCCGGCGATATGCTGCAACACAAGAACGTGAAGCAGCCTTGTCTAAGGTATAATCAGTTCACGACAGCAGTAACTAACACTATGCTAGTTTATTATTTTTCATTGAAAATTGCATACACTAAAACTGTAATAAATACCCAATTCAGCCCATAAAATGAATTTACTAGTGAAGCAGTATAATTAGAACATTAAACTACAGAAAAAGGACATTTAGATTTGTGCATTACTTCTGGCTAAATATTGTGTCGGCGTTCGTCGATAGATGAAAGTTTACAAGCTGCTGTAGTGACTTTAAGATATCAATATCTGTCAGTCAGAAGGTTGAATGCATTACCATATAGTATGCAGAGTTGGGTGGTACTTCTAGTGCTTTTACAGACGTATTTAAACTCCTGAAATTGATGACTAAATGTGAATTCTGTCTCAGGATAAGACTGAAAGTAAGGGATAAGATTTGTTTGTTGTAAATTTCCTGCTCTAGTATCATTTCTGTTTGAATTACGGCCAAATTTATCTATCACAGGATGTTAACACAGAATATTTCTACATTTCTCGTTAAGTAGAGCTAAATCTCTGCCGATAATATTCAAATACCTAAAGATATCAAACTACTGATGCACTTATAATTTGATCTGCGAACATCTACCAACATACTTCAAATTTATCACTGATGATTGACGGATAACAGTGATAGTTTTTCGTAGATTTTCGATGTGTGATGGGTCGGAAAATAACGATAGTCGCATCTAATTTGGAGAAGCTGGAAATTTGTTCAGACTTCTGATGAGAATAAAGTTGGAGAGAAAATACATGTCATCTCTATGTATGAAAGAGATTTGCTTGACTAGTTTGATTAAAACATCGGATTCATCTATAAATCCTATCCTAAGTAAACGTTTTCCATTATTAACCATCTCTGTGTGTGTGTGTGTAAAAGTGTAATTTAGTAACACTTTTTGAGTGGCTTTAAAATCCAAATTTTTCTAGTTGACCAGTTTTTCGTATCAACAAAAAGATCTAGAACACTAAAGAAAAAATGTGACACACCCTCTTTCTTAATTTCACTCATTAGAAGAAGAAATGGTAGGGGAGAATTCTCGTAGTCAGAACTTCAAGAAGTTTGTTCTTTATCTATATACAATGGGGATCATAAGGATTTCTAGGTTATTTATGTACTTGTAAGCATAAACATACATATCTAAGATATTCTCATTCATAGAATTCGGGTGCACTCGAAAGTATTGGAAATGATAGGGTAAATGGTAGGCCAGTTTACATTATCAGATATTGTGATGAGAGTTTAAGCGAAAATTCGAATGAATAATGATTATTTTTAAGCATAAAGTTCACAGGGAATTTCATTCACTTAGAAGTCTTATGAATCTGAGATTTCTTGTTTGGTGATAAATCATGCAATAGTTATTGATAATTTATTTATTTGCAACGAGATTTCATCACTTTTCTCCCTAGCAATAGTGAAATCAGTTCAACTTATAATTTATTCCTGTTTATTTTCTGCAAATTTCCGCATAATTTATGCGAATTAATTAAACAAGGAAATCAATAAAAGCCTGTTAAGAGCTCTTGGACATTTGTAGCATTTATCTATAGTGTTAACAAAAGTTACATTCTTCAAAGATAACCTAGGCAAAATTATCTAATGAGTGATGACGAGATGATACCGAACTGCTTTATTTTACAACGACTTCATAAACGCAGTTTTAAGTTCTTTGTAGTAAATAAAGTCTTATAATTACTCCTTTTATTATATGTTCAGTAGGGTGAGTATTGTAAAGAGGTGACATTTTAGCCCTATTTGGAATATATCCCTTTTGAAAATAGTCGCAGTCAACTCAGATATTGGATGAAAGAGTGCCACAGGTTATTGTTATGCTTGAGTTTTTCTTCGTTATCAAGTACGAAAATCACTCACATCACCTGTTAATTCACCTCATTTGGGTTCTAAATAGTCACACCTTATGTCAGCAACAACGGGTTCGTGAAATGTTTTAGTAATGAGAAAAAAACAGCTAGTCTGTACAAAGGAAAATATACGACGGGGAGTTAGACAATAATAACCCTTTAGATTTTTATCCTGAGTAAATAAGATTATGAGATTAAAAATAAAAGAACTGGTAGATGTGACGGAAAGATGAGAGCACTGGGGAGCAGAAATTAAAAAAAATCTTTACTGCTGTCGTAAAAGGAGGGAGTCCTGAACTTTTGCTCAGATTTATGAACCAGGTGGGGGGTGGGGGGAAGCAGTATTCGAACCCACAAGTTCACTAAGATCTGAAAAAAATCTCGGCCGTAGCACTTCATGCAGTTAAAAAGTGAGTCCTAAAATCTAATATAGCAAGTTGGTTAGAGACTGATAACAGAAGCTTTGGATATTGAATCAACTGCGAGTACGTGCAATGGGGAACGACTAGATACCAGTTGCAGGAATCTGCATAGTTGTAATACCCATGAAGCAAATGAAAAAGTAGAATTAAAATTAATTTCTGATAACCAAATTTATAAAGAATGATCATCTAATAGATTATTTAACGATTAACGAAATAGCGTCTACAGGGAAAAGCAGTAGGACGTTGTAAGTAAACAGAACCATATGAAATTTTTGTGTAAAAATATCTACTTCACTTTGGTGTTTCTCGATTTTAGAAATGATAGTCTTTAATAACAAGGTAGTCAGGTAGCGTTAAGAGTTTTGATGCATAAAATACTAGTTTTATGTCGTACTGGGATTCTGATGTTTTCCACGTGTACTCGTTTCACTCAGGAAAATACAAGCCTGAAAAGCGACCTTATACAGCTGGAATCAGCTGTTAGTGCACGGTTGAATTATTATGCAAGATATAAAGAAATTGCAGCATTTCAAATACAGAAATTACAAAAGTCTTTGGATAGTTGCGTCACAGAGGATGAATTGAATAGTCTAAGAAATGAATATGAAACACTGGCTATAAAATACAGGGAATTACTAGAACGCGATTCTGATAGTGTTAGTAATCAACTGGCTTTAAAGTCAACTCAGGCCAATTTAGATGCTCTAAAGAAGCAACATAATGAACTGAAAGAACAATTGGCGATTGAAAAGGAAAGAAGATACCTCCTAGAAAGTTCTGGAATTCAACTTCAGACAAATGTAAGTTACTCTCTGCGTTTTACGAATTCTATTCTTGTCCTTTCTCATTCCACTGGATGATTCTTCATTTCTTTTTTTCACTTGTCGTAATATTTTCCAATGCTTTCATCGTTTATGATCACTTTATCATTGTGTTGAGATCATTTTAGCAGCTGCAGGTTATCAGGTAAAGATGCTAAGAGAAGAAACTTGACTAGATAATGAATATAAAAACACTCATAACTCCTTTTTTGTTATTTGTCATTTCTGGCAACTATTTTAGGTATGGGCGTTCATTCGTTCCATATGCCTTAAGATAAAAAGTTTTGAGATTTGACATTACTAACAATTTTAATAGTTTACAATTGGTGGATGGTGGCTAGCAGTGGAATCCAGGATGCGCATTTCGTTCTATTTGGGACTCGTCAGCTGGATATACCTGCATTTCTCAGTGAGTGATGATGTTCCCACCGAGGTACATCCAGCTGACAAGTCCCAAATAGGACGAAGTGCGCATCCTGGATTCCACTGCTAGCCACCATCCACCAATTGTATACTAATTAAATACCCAGACATCGTCGAAGCATCTGCACAAGAAGCCGACATGTCAACCCGAGACCGAGCACTTCGGTCCAATCAATCGACGGGAAAATCAAAAATTCAATTCAATTTTAATAGTTGTTATGAATGGTACTAGAATTACTTCTAACAATGAGGAAATGGAATTAGCCTATATCGCTTTCAGGTATATATGTGACTGGTGGCTTGACGCATAGGTGTCACATACGACTTATAACTGAATTGTGTAAAGACGTCTGATAAACACCCGTATTAGTTCATTTTATTTCTCACTTCTACAAAAAATTTTACTATCGAATATTTCACGAAATCATATGTCCTTGGTATCCTGACTTTTGATTTTATTGTATACTTTCTTATCAAACAGATGAAACAGAATTTCACTTATAATGAAACGTTAAGTTTGCGATTTGATCTATAAGTACTGACAATTCATTTTCAGATATGTTTTCGGAGATCCGCAAAATTTGATCCTTATGTTCATAGTTATGTGCATAACAATCATGTCTTTGGAGGAGGGATGACTGTATATTGTAGAACTGGAGACAGTTTATCATACATCAGAAATGAGCACACATAAGCGGGAAAAAGAAATATAATAAAACTACAGCTCATGAAGATGTACGGCAGATACGAAAATGAAAAGGAGGTACCTGAGGGTTTTGAGAATATAGGAGACGGAAATGAATGATTGAATACATCTGTGCAACTGACAATGGTTTTTAACAATCCAACGACAGTCTCAAACCAGTGATTCTTGAAATCTCGTAGATCCAAGCCTGACAGTCTTCAGGATTTTACGTTTCTCAAACCAACAGGGAAAGCCTTCATGCGTTGTTTTCGTCTGATCGTCACTAACACTTTTAAAGCCTGATCATATTTTGGCTAACAAAGACGTTTGGGAAAGGTAGTGGCTCACTATACGTATCACATATCCCAAATGGATCAACTAATGCGGCTTTATACCCTCATCGATCAGCTTTGTTTTGTTTTTTTATCTAGCACTGAACATTGCACTTCATTAATACTGACGATAGCACCTAACATGGGGTTCACAAAATGTTCTCTTATTTGAATCTCTAAAGTCTTTCTTTGATGAAAAGTTGATTGCTGAAAAAGGATTAGTTATTCATAACTACAGAACTAAAAGAATGACTGCTTGAATCAGCCATCAGTTAATTGGATCCCCACCAGTATAAGAGACCTACTAGAGGAATGAAGTTATGCAATAGTTGTTTTCATGTTCTCTACCCTTCTGATGATAACTTGTTTAGAAAAATAATATAAAATTCCTACCAAACGTTCATTTCTATGTTCAGACATTGGTGGGGAATTGATATTGTGTGATTTTCACCATTTAAGGTATGAGTGTATTTTCATTATGTGACGCTTGAACACTTTCACTAAAACTGATGTGTTCTGGTGCCTAATTGATCAGTAGCTTACTTAGTCTGTAAGTGTTAGCAATACAGGTCAAAAGGTTAAGTTCATTAGAAATATGGCTGCATGAGTGATATATATATATATATATATATATATATATATATAATTTGTTGAACAACAAGCTAAATGACTTTTTTACTACAACTTTTCATTTTTCTCTCTGAATCTGCATCAGGAATAACTGAACGTCATATGATAGTTTTGAGATATTTTGTAAAACTCTAAATTCTTTTAATTCAATATTTTCATTAGACCACTAAACATGTTCAGATCGAAGACGATAAATCAGATATGAATATTGCTAAGCGTCTGGCTTTAGTAGAAATGAAGGAGTTAAATGAACGTGAGCGTGCTAATCATGCACAAAGCATGCTAAAAACGATCCAGGATGCTAACAAGCAATTGGAAAACAGAAATAGAGAACTCGAAGATAAATTTAACAAACTTACCAGGTCTTTAATGGAATTACAGAAAACTGAACAAAAACTAAGACAAGAATATGCAAGTGAGTCTTGTATTTAACATTATTTCCATGATCCACTTATTTTGGTGGAGATCGTTTGAAAAGAAAATGAAAGCATATCGGCAATCGTGGAGCCTCTTTGAAAAAGTTGCAGACAGATGTATTGCTGAAGCCCTATATTCCACCTGGAGCCTAAGGGATTAATGACAGTTATTTCCAAGGACGACACTTACTAGCTATATGACGTAATGCACAATGAATAAGAGAGTAGGTTGTAGGATGGGGTAACTGAACACAAATTTTTTACATGGAGGAATTCACCATGAGCTGACATCAGTTAGAGAACCACTGGAAAACCTGGGAGTACTAGACTGCTGTTTCGTCCTAGTTCGGGACTCTTCATCAGTACACACCCACCGGGGTTCGAACCTAGGACCTTCTGGTTACAAGGTGGTGAGCTAGTAGACCATTGACCCACTGGGACCCGATCCAATGGCATAGTGAAACCACTTGGCAATGTCTTCTTCGATGAGTCACTGTCTCATCTTCAACCTGCTGTACCCTACTGGTCATGGCTTCCCACTAGAACCCCAGGTTAACTGCTTGAATAGGGCCAGTCACTAGTGAGCATCAGATTAATTTTCAAGTATTGGTTTTGTAGGGATTTTGTTTGATTGCATGGAGGATTTCACCATGAGCTGACATCAGTTTGAGAACCACTGGAAAACCTGGGAGTACTGGACAGCTGTTTCGTCCTAGTTTGGGACTTTTCAGCAGCCTGAAAAATAAATTAGTAACTGTCTACAAATAACAATAAAATACACTTAATTTATTCAAACTTCATTTCTTCGGTGAGTTAACTTTATTTAGCATAAGCAGTATAGGAAATGAAGGTATTCTACATGCAATCAGAGATTATTTTGAAGTATAACTTTTTGTATTCGTCAAATATTTTCCATAATATAAAATCAAACACTAGAGAAACATTTTTTCAAACAATTTAGCACGTTTTTACTTAAATATCACTATCTAAAGTCATATGCATTTAAACAAAACGTAAAGGTGATCATCTGATCAGGACAGGGTTGTCTATACAATGAGTGTAAAATGTCACTGAACTTGATGCATAATTATTGTGTTAAAAGGATCATGTATCCTGAAGCTTCAACGAACATTCAAATTTATTGTGAATCGAGGAGGCTTGGTGTGGCTTATATTTTGATCAAAAAGGCTTGTACTAAAGTTCATTCAAGGCAAAAAAGCTACCTTGCACCTAGTTTTAACTATAATCTTATGTGATTTTTTTAATTTCAGAGGCTGTTCCTATATCTATTCATCGTGAGCTTGAAACCAAAAACACGGAATTAGAACAGGCTGATCTAAAACTTCGTCATGAAATTGATCAGTTAAAAGAAGTCACTTTAATTTCAATGAACCAGCATCAAAATTTAGAAGATCAGCAAAATAATCAAATGATAGAAATAAAGAACCTACGCGAACAGATGAGTGAACTGGAATCTAAAGATGACTCTAGAGCAAATCTAGCTCGCCTTCATCGTCTTGTAACACGGATGCAGGTAAGCTGGTGCTTTCTTTTTAGCTTGATTTAATACAGCATATCTTCTCTGCATCTAAAAACCTCTAACAAAGAAGTGTTGAGCGCTAGCGTATACACATATGAGCTAATATATAGTGCTATGATTTCAGAGAATATATATTCTCCTTAAAAGCAGACTCCTGCAACTCCCTGAAAGCCGTGAGGTTGATAGATACGATTCATTCAGTGAAACATTGATAGGGAAAAGTATTGCTCTTCTGATTCTGTGGTACATGTTACTTCGTAGTAGCTTAGAAGGTCCTCAAACTGTGAGAGGCTACGGATATGAAGGCTTGAAACTGTGCTTGTTGTCTCTTGATACCGGCTAGTAGGAAATGCTTATAACCACTAGGAGCGTGTGGTATAACAAAGACTTGAAGCCATATCATTTGCATCGGAAGAATCAGAATGGAATTATTACAGCACCGATTTACAAAACTAATGGCTCAGTGAAGATCAGTTCATGCAAAACCAGTAATGATATGTGAATTATATATATATATATATATATATATATATATATATATATATATATATATATATGAAATGCAAGTGAACACTAACCAAACTATTAATAAGAATTAGACAAAGGTGAGATGAAGCTAGCGGAATAGAAGATTCATAAGACATGTTTTGGTACACTCAGTGGTTTTGTTCTTTATTGCTTTTAACGGATCAAAGTCATTTCTTCGGTCTAGAAATTGTTTCCAATCAAAGTCATGCTACATTGTAATCGGCACTGGGTTGATGACGATCTGGTATCAGTTAGAGAACCATCGGAAAATGTGGCAGTACTGGACTGCTATTTTGTCCTAACTTCGAACTCTTCAACTGTATATGCCCACCGAGGTCCGAACCTAGGACCTTACACGTGCGAGGTGGGCTCGTAGACCATTTAACTATTTGGACCCGACCCAATGATCTATGAGTTCCAACCTCTGCTACTTCGTGATATGCACTTAGCGTGACCGCCAGTTAGTCTCATAGCTGAGTGAGTGTCCTGGTACCAGACGTCGTAGACTGCGCTAGTTACGACCCCTCATTAGAACTCCAGGTAAATTCCTGCATATATCCAGTTGCCAATAAACATCAGATTAATTACCAATTATTGATTTGCTGGGATTTTATTAGTTCTAGGATTGATCATTAGCTGGAGAGTTCCAAACTAGGAAAAAACAGCTGTACAAGCTTTCCAACGGTTCTCTAGCTGATGTCAGCCCGTGATCAATCCTGTAACCATTCAAATCCCTGCGAACCAACACTCAGAACTTTATGACTGTAAGTTATGGAGTTGTTAGGCCCCACTAAATTCAGGTTTGATTCGCTTGCATGTTTCATATGACTTTGCCTCACACGATGCATAGTGAAAAAATTACGAGACTGTTCTTCCAGTATTTTACATAAACATTACTTAATATCACGAGAATCTATTTGCACAAGACTGGCGGTCTCAGGAAAGTATTCTAAGGACTGAAAAGCGTGTGTCTTAAAATAGTTCGACAGCGAGTAATGATGGCAATATGGGAAGTTAATTAAGTTTATATTAGGGACTGAGAGTCTAGTCTTTCTCATTAATGGCTAAAATCATTGCTGATAGTAATCTGCAGAGCTCCATCGCTTCTGGTAAGCCCTTGTATAAAGACCTATGAGTAATCTTCAAAATATAGTGGGAAGTGAAAATGAAAAACGAATAATCAGCAATGAAAATATTGTCGCAAAATATTGACTTAGCAACCATAAAAGTGTGAAAATTAGAATGAATCAAAGAAAACATTATCTAACTCTGGTAGGCATAATACCGGCAAACGATTATTCTGATTAACGAGGCTTTTATCAGTATATAGTGTTGTTCAGTAGTGACAGCGAGATATGGCATAATTTATTAAGTCTGCTACTGCTGAACTGAGCTAGCTGGGCTTAAGTAAGTTGAAGTATTAGAAATCAATTATTGACTACTGTCTGTGATAATTTAAAGTAGTTAAAATGTGTTCGCTGCTGATTATCCTCATCATTTTGGACACTGTGCGTCGGTGGCACAGTGGTTAGGACTCTCGCCGACCATGCATATGGTCCGGGGTTCGATCCCCAGCCGACGCACACCTGATATCTATGGTCGGCCTGCGAAATTTGGGCCACCGATATCCATGCTGAAAATTCCATACTTGTACCAAAAATACAGTGTGGAATCAAGCTGTAAATCAAAAAAAAAAAATAAAAAATAAAAAAAAAAATAATGTAATCTTGGCCTCCATTTCCATTCTTTTTTTGAATAAAATTCATATTTATTCACTTCATGTTCTATCCTTAAAACGTGAAACACAGACATAGGTTGACCGGTCAATAATGGTGGAATTTTGGTTAACAGACAATTTCTATAATCCGTAATAATACGTTGTCTTCCATTCTTCTGAATTTAGATATCAGAATCTACTGCACTGCGTCGTTTAGCATCAACTCAAGTGAGAGTAAACCGTTTGGAAGCAGATTTACTAAAGTCTGAGAAACGATTAACTCTAAAAGAAAATGAATTAACATGCTTGTACAACAAGTCACGTGAGCGTGAAAGAAGATTACGTGAAACAATTACAGTAAGTTAAAATCTAAGTGCAAACAGTTTGGTGTTTCCTACTTCATTGAATAGAGAAACCATTCGGTTATTCATAAGACTGAAATAAATCATTTATGCTGCACACCTGTCTTTATAGCGTCTGGTTAAATGCTGCACAAACTTCATCCATGGAATCCAGGACTGGTGATTCATCTCATTTAGTGGTAATGTTGCTAGATTCTTATAATAGAGAAGGCTCAGTTGTTAGAAAAAACAAGATTTTGTACAGTTAATTTTGATATTTTTGACTATATATCTGATAGCAACATCAACAAACTACAACGCTCGTATATTAGCTATGAATCGTTTCGAATCAGACTTCAAATTATTGAGGACTCCTATTCGCTAACCCTGGTTCTTTCAGTGTATTTGATGCTGCTGTTATCAGGTAGTACAGTAAGAGTCTAAGGAACCATTATGAGCATGTTTAACATGTTAAGATGAGTGGAAATATCGTAAACTTCATGATCCATGTACGCCATTATTTCTGTTATTATTTACTGTCCACACTTTTGGCGTCTTCCATAGATGAGGAGAATTTGGTAGACGCTGAAGCTGTTTATGAACAAAAGTATTCTCTATAACTAATACTAGTAAAATACTGGGATATAAGGGGTTTTACTTGTCATGATATTTATGAAATTCGATAGGATTAGTGGGTATTGTATCACCAGCTAGACTGTCAAGCTTGTAACTAACCCTCTGTATCCGTTCAGACATTGAAGGTTTACTTCATTTAAAGACAAATTTTTTCATATAGTATGGAAGTGTTGAAATGCAGTTTTAGTTGATTCAGTGTTGACCACCTCAGTTCCACTCAAAGATCTTCTATCAGGCGCTGACGATAATAGTAACCAGTTCATTCTAATCGATGATTTTGTAAAAAGTAACGTTTTCACATTGTCTCAAGTGAGATTATGAACTGGCATAAGTTAGAGAACCATTAAAAACCAGAAAGTATTGGACAGCCGTTTAGTTATACTTTTGCACTTTAAGGTGGTACGCAACGATGATCACACTGGGATCGAACCCAAAGTATTCAAGTCAGGAGGTGAGCCCGTTAACCCCTCAGACTGTAGGGCGGGATCAGGTAGCTGGTGAATTCTGACTTCCGGCAGTTATCTGTATAGACCGCAATTGCCAAGCGACATCAAAAACCACACCACGTAGTTACTCACTAGTGAACAACTCGTTATCAAACCCTGCTCAATAACTGAGTATAGGACGAAGTTGCCTGGAGTCCTAGTGCAAAGTGATGACCAGAAGAGTCCACCAAATAGTGTATGCGTGCTAATATTTGCCCGTGAAATTGGTTGGCAATGACCCTATATATATCGAATCACCAAAAGTCAGAATTCATGAGCCATCGAACTCCATTCTAGTGTCTGAGTGGTAAACTCGCCTCATAATCCCGAGGTCTTGGTTACGATTCACAGTGAAGTCATGCGTGAGTACTCCCAGTACTCCCTGGTCTCCATTAGTTCTGTAACTTGAAATCAGACAAATCCATGCAAATCAACACTAACTAGTTTTCGTATTGCTTTTACAAATTAGCTTAAAAAATCTGCATTTTATAATAGCTAATTCATGTACAATCATTTTAGTTATGTTTGTACACTTCACTGTCCCCAGTCATCTATGGTATTATCTCCTAAAGTTCAATGAAAATGTCGGAAGCGATAAGTTGAAATACTTCAAAGACAGGAATGGAAGGTATCTTTGATGTGTTTGATCGAAGAGGATATATTTGGAGCCAAATATCAAGCAGGCCATTATTATAAATGAGAGAATAAACTATACTTTAACGGTATAAGACAAGAGACTAGCCACAATACCAGTACATAAAAGCCGTGTAAGCCGTACTTACTTCTCACTTTTAACTTATACTTATTGAAATGACTATAATTCAAATGCCATATAGAACGCAGCCAAAGAATTTGAGAGTCTCACTGATATAATAAATGAACTGGTAAATAAACAGTACTATATCATTGTGTTTTTTTTATCAAATGAAATTATTGTATTGTAGAAGTAAAGTTTTACATCATGTTATGTTGTAATTTCTGAACTTTTATCAAGTAACTTCAAGACATATATATGAAATGGTTTATTTTTAGTTTGTTGAGTTGTAGCCTCTTGTTCACTGACCATCCACTTTCACTCATTTAGATTTTACGTCAAAGGTATGCTGGTTGTATACCTCTTGGACAACAAGAAAAAGTGTCTAATCGTCTATCAGAAGCACTTCATCAGTGTATGTCCAGTCATTTAGCACTTGAGGAAGCTGTGAATGCTAGGATAAAAGCTGAATCTACGATTGATGGATATGAAGAAAAGAAACATTTAACATCAGAAATCCAGAATATTTTAACAGAATACAATAAGCAACATTCAAATGACAGTATTAACAAAAATTTGGAAAGGAAACTATTAGAATGGCAAGAACGACTGAGTGATCTACGTGTTTCAGAGTCATCACAACGTCGTCAGGTATACCATGTTTTGCATTTGAATGTTTTTACTGATTGGGTACTGTGTTCACACATTCACCGAGAGATTTACTTATCCTTCAATTATTCTTCTGAAGACATTTACAGATTTTCGTTATGAAGTGAAAATATGCAATTGAAGTACTTACGAAATATTCAAATCTTAGAGTTCTTCCAGGTATGAATGCTTCAGAATGAGGAAAGTAAAATGAAAATTTACTAATTTATTGGTGACTGAGACGATGGACTGAAGTCCATTTTAGTGGATTCAGTGCAACTAAACAATTAGTTCCACTGTCTTGAAAAATAAAGTAATGATGTAACAACAGAAGACAAGGGCCAGACAAAAGATCATTCATTATGGAAATCAACACATATTTATATATTTTCATGTAAATTACTATAGATTTTTACTATCAGACAAACACAGTCTTCTGATTAGTTGTTTCTCACTGAAAGTTAATCTTTCATCTCTTTGTGGCTGTTTCTTGAATGTCAGATCATCTATATGCTAACTATATCCGCCTACGCAAAGTCTGCTGTGGTTGATTATTGAATCAGTCTTTGTTCTTATTTTGCTCACAGCCAATATTGGGGATGTAAACATTGACGTGAATTATTGTCTACCAATTTGGCTTCCAGCCAGCTCTCACCACAATGATATCACTTTTTATAATATTAAGCGAAGCAAATGTCTTCATACTGTTGAATGATCCGATAAGTGTAAAATACCCTTTTCGCTTTGAACATAATTATAATTATTTTATACTAGATTTCCTAAAAATAGGAACTTACTGAGCGACAGCTCATGTGCTTTCGAAGCATTTCACTTTTGGATAGCGTTTATGAACATAGCATAAACCAGCATGAATCTGAATGGAGATGTTCCGATGGCTTTTTCCTGAAAAATTATCATTAGTTTATCTACTGAACTGTTTTTGCCTTAAGTAATAATTCTGTTTCACGCCTAATCACACAGTCTATATGAATTTTATACCAGCACAGTCATAACCAGTTTAATTAAAGACGACCTATTTGAAGGATTCTATCAGTTCAATATCATTGTGGAACTCACACCAACACGAATTATCCTTGGATTCATACTATAAAACAATATTCGTAAACTCATTTCATATTTTACAGGTTGAAAGAGTAAAGGAACAAGTACATCATTTGGAATCTCTTGTACAAAACCAAGAAGCTCAACTAAACCAACTAGAATTAGAAAATTCACGCCTAGTTAAAGAATTAGATCAACGTGAAACTCAGTGGGAACAACGTGAAGCTGAATTAGAAGGGGCTTTAGAAAGTAATACACAATCTGAAGTAAGTGTCTGTCTCTCAAGAAGTTTAGTTTCATTTTCTCGATTCAGTATTATTCTGTAACACATATAGTATTTCAAGGGTAGTACTAAGCTATTCCAAACAACTCTTGTCTAATACTATGTTCATGTATTTCGTGTACATGAATTAACTGAGTTTTCTCCAGTTTTATATTTTTGACAGTTCGGTACATCTTACAGACTGAAAGGTGATGATAAGACCTACCTTCTTGATGACTGTAACCATTTTTTTTCAAAATACACCGAATCATGATTAACCGTAAGTCAATGGATATATTTAGAGAAAAATATAAGTACTATCAGTGTTCAAGAAAGTAGAATCTCTAGACTTAGGATGAACGACTGTGTTCAGTTGCACATCACACTCTCAGCATGATTAATTCCTAAGAATACTGACTTAAAAGTGCTAAGTTATCTTTCTTTCATTTGGATATCGACTGAATATGCTTATTAGTAAATTGCATAATACAGGGATATATTTCTTCGGATGATTCCATTATTTTTATTCCATATATATATACTATGTCCACCGACTGTCTAGTGTCATGGCAAAGAATTACATGTAATCAAAAGACAGGCCAATAAGATTCAAGTGAACCTTGAAAGCTTTATCAATTTCTTAAGACAAACTATCTTTACGACTTGAAACGACTACTTGTCTTCTGAGAACTATTCACCGCATCGAGTTTAACTGCATAATTTTTTCTCTTCATTCGGGATCTTCAAGTAAAATAGCAACCTGTAGCGTGTCATGTGACTAAACGCCCCTAGATTTGAAGTGCAGTGTAATCCCCCATGATATTTATCTCCGCCCTCCAGGAAATGTGCACTGATAGTTTAAAAGTCAACCAAAAATGTTCGTGAGTACATTTTGAGACTCAAATGTATGATTTAATCATAACAACAATCAAAATTAGAGAAAGTATGATACAGTGAATCGGATGGATTTTCAGGTAAACTAGTAATTCAAGCAAGCCGCCAGTGTTTTTTGACGGCACAGTGTACCTGATAGTCGGCATAGATTAGTTATATTACATGAAAGTATTTATTTTTTCCATCAATATCTGAAATGCACCAAAAAGTGATTCCAGGTGAATCCTTTAGGAAAACCTGTGAATCGAATCGATGAAAATGAATTGATCTTAGGAAAAACTGCTAGTTTCGTACTGATCATACCTTGCTTTTACTTTAGATGGTGTATGTAGTATGCAAAATCCACAGGACATTGCATTTCTCTTTTAAAATATAGAAGACTTTTGACAAAGCTTTAGATACCAAAGATCGAGAAGTCAGTGAAAACGACATAGTTTTGTTTTTCATACATTACGGACATAAAAGCTTTTTTTATAACTGTGAGAAAAGTTATATTCAATAGTAATGCAAGAGACTGATCTAACCGAACCGTACATAAGGATCTTTGTTGCTTAGGTTCAAACAGTATTAGTATTCACAAAAACTTCTTTTGTAAACAGTGGCCACATAACTTATGATTTGCTACCATTTACCACTGGTTTTATTCATTTCTTTGAAAACATTAATAACCCACAAAATTTCTTACGGCAATTCAAAGACAGTATGCTGTTACTTAAACTGTCATCATAGATTGTATTCTATCTAGTTTAAAATGTATCATACAATTATCCAGAGTGTTCTTCAGTAGCTGTGTTGAAATATGTCTTATTTCAGAACATAATATCGGAAAATCTGAGTGAACTAAAATCGATTCCTATGCTCCTGACAAATGAAGACATTGAACCGGTAATGGATCAGATTAATCAAAACGCCAGCTTTAATGAACAGCAAACACCACATGGGACTTCACAAAAACCAATGCAAAAATCTGATCACCAAATAATAGGAAAATTGACAAATGAAAACACAGCACTTCGAAAGGTAATCACGTTCCATATTTCTTTTTGTCAGGCTACCGTTTCACATTAGCTCATATAATTATATTCATGAAGTTCTTTGAATGTAAAATCATACTACTCACTGGTAATAAGTAGTGTAAATCTGAACAAAGAAAAGTGTGAAACATTAATATTGAAAAAACCATCCATATGAAATATTCAATCACAGTTACGTAAGATTTATCTCGTGAAATTATCCAGTGGTAAATTCACAGTTTTCAGGCTAACATAAACAGATTTAATGAGGATGTTTTTTAAGGCATGGAATTAATGCATATATTTATGAAGGCAACAGTATGTAACGCCGAATGTTTCTGTTATCTGGCTCAGGTGTCCGCTTATTAGGATTTAGATTATGCAAATAGTAAGTGTTGTTAATCAGACTAACACCCTATTGAATTTCTAACACGTTTGATAGACGCCCACTATTTTGGCAGGATAGTTTTTAAGATTACTTTACGTTTTATTCTTTGGATATCCCTATTATTCACCTCCGCTATTTTGGAATGTGTGTTCTAGTATCACCGTGTGAGTGTGGGCTGGAGCCTGAGTTATTTACTAGAAAATTGTTGAAATGTATACGGTGATTAACCCATATATTTGTGAATATTTAGCAATTATAATAGTTTCTTCTCCTTAATACTGTCTTCAATAATCAGTAAGAGTGCCACTGAAACCTATTCCAAACATCCTGTAATATTATTGTTGCAAGTGAATAAAAGTTATTGAAATACTGTAGAAACTGAAAAAGTCGAAAATAGGAAGTCTACTTCTTACTGGCTTTTAAAATGACATTATAAATCCTGTTGATTACTATTTAACACAAATTATTTAAAAATATTTTTGTCGTCATTATAATTTTTTGTTTTTAATATAAATTTAGCGTCTCACTCAACTGTTACAGCTTCTACGCGCTCAGGATTGTAAATTACAAAATGTAATCAACCATCCTTCTACGGTGCAAAATCCAGATACACAATCCACAATAGCTGGTCTGCGTGCCAATATGGAATTACTGCAGCGTCGACTAAATGGAAAAGAGGAGAGTCTCACAAGGGTTAATGAACTGCTTAGACAGGCCTATGAAGCGAATGAGCAGTCAAACGAGAGGCATCGACAAGAAATTGCTATTTTACAGAATAAAGTAATTATTATAATTATTCTCTTGGGTTCTGAATGAAACATAGGGCTTCTACAATACATCTCCACTTTGTTCTACTTTCCTTTGTCCTCCTCATCTGGCCTTATGACTGCCCATAATCTCTCATCTCCTCCACGTCGTCCTCGAAAGACCCACACGTCACTCCCCATTTGGATTTCGCTGGAGCTGTGGCCTGGAGCGTGATTTCATTTGACGCCTCAACGTGTCCTGCATTCATCTCCATTTTCTCCAACATATTTGTTGAGCTCTTGATGTTAAGGTTACTTACCTTTTTGCTATTACTAATCAATTTACTTGATGAATGACACTTTTTGCAGTCGTCGTGTAATCTTCCCAGGTATTGACCGTTTATAATGCTTATTCTCTTTCTGAAAATCCCTGTCTATGTCACTTTATCAAACATGGCAAAAGCTCTGTTCCATATGCTATGAAGTGTAGGGCTGAAAAAAGACACTTGGATTGCTATAAACTCAAAAAGTGAGTAAATCGCTTATAAGCATGTAATATTAAATATAGGTATCCAAAATAATGACTACTGACCTTCTCCATTCATATTAAGGGAATCAAACAATTAGTTGGTAGCTGACTTCATATACTATTAGAATAACTTTACAATTTTAGGCAGGTGTGATAAGTGAATTACCTGAAGCGTATGATGTCTAAATATTACAGCCATTGTGTTTTCCTTTTCGCCTCCCCATATTATCCTATTATTATTATTATATCCTTTAATTCCTAGAGGAATATAGGGCTTCAGCTGCGCGTCTCCATTGCCTTCTGTTTTCTGCCAACTTTTTCACTCCGCTCCAAGTCTGCCCACATGCTTTCATCTCCTCTTCACATCACCTCCTCCATGTCACCCTTGCACTGACGACCAACTTGCCGCTTCCCTTTCGGGTTCCACTCAAGCAATGGCTTGGCTGGTGATGTCACTTTTATTGGTTTCCTCAGTGTATGGCCAGCCAATCCATCTCCATTTCTTCCTGCCTATTTGTTTCACAATCGGTTCCTGCTGGGTTGGTTCGCACATTGCCAGAGATCCTTGTTGCTGATCTTTTCTGGCCGGCCATCTGATCTTGAGTGGTATTGAGCGAAGACAACTGTTAATGAAGGTCTGTAGTTTGTTTGAGATGCTCTTTATGACACGCAGTGCAAGTCTCTGATCCGTATAGTGAGTAGCACTGACTTCATACCGAAGTTGAAAATCCGGATCTTATTTTTGATGCTGAGTGATGTTGACCTCCACACAGACTTAAGGGTGATGAAACCTTGTGTTGCTTTTCCGATTCTGGCTTTGATATCCTCATCAGTTCCGTCTGCTTGTAGTTGAAACGATGCTTCCTAGGTCGGTGGGTAGGTAAAGGAGGTTGTTTCTTTCAGGTTCCTCCCATTTATGCTGGCTGATTGTTGTCTGTTGTTGTTGCTGTTGTCCAGGAATCTTCATCACCTCTGTTTTATCTATGTTCACCTGAAGTGGAGTCCTATCTTTGATGCTTCTTCTGCCAGCTTGTTGCTTTTCATCACTTGCATATCTTCCAGTTTGTGGAAAATCAGACATATATCATCGACGAAGTCCAGATCCTCCAAGTTTTTTGTGTGAGTCCATTTTATGCTTGTTTCCTTATACCCGTCGCCTGTCACATTATCCAGTCTACTGCAATCAGAAGGATCATTGGCGACAGTAGACAGCCTTGCCTCACTCCCGTCCTCACTTTAAAGGCTTCGTTAGTTTCCCGTTGTGGATTACTTGGCATTTAGTATTGTCGTATAACTGCTGGATGAGATGTATAATTGTCGATGGCACCCCGTAGTAGCGAAGTTGTTGCCAAATCACCTCTCGATCGACGCTGTCGAAGGCCTTTTCAAAGTCGATGAAGTTGAGTGAGGTGGAGAGGTGACTGCCATTCCAAGCTTTGCTCAATGATGATTCGTAGAGTGGCGATTTGATCGATACATTATTTGTTTCTCCTGAATCCGGCCAGTTCCGGTCGGAGTTTTGCATCCAGGGCTTGTTTGATTCTCTCCAGGATGATGCAGCTTAGTATTTTGCTTGGGATGAACAGGAGCATAATTCCACGCCAGTTTTTGCATTGACTTAAGTCTCCTTTCTTTGGTAGTTTATCCTAAAACATATATTTTTTGCCCAAACACATCATCACCTGTTATATACTACTTTTGTCATTCATTGTTGCAGATGTTGTGTAGGAAGGCTGTTGGTAAAAAGGCGATTACATACAAAATAACTGAACCAAGGAGAATATCTATAGTTGGAAAAAATTAAGGCATGATTTACACGTATTTGTTTTACTTTGATGATTAATAACCGTGCAAAGACATCTTTCATTTCTAGAATTAAATTTTCTGAAAACATTTTTCACTCATTCTCTTCATTTCACCTGATAAACCATGCGAAAAAGACTGAGTCAAGAAATATTATGCGTTAATCATGAAACAAGAAATTTAGACAGGATAACACTGGAAGCTATTTATGCATAAGCAACACAAAGAAAGTTTAGTATAAATTATCGAATCACTAAGGATAAACTTTTGTTAACAGTTTTTAGTTGCTTGGAATGTAAAACTGATACTGCATGATTACCAGAGGTGTGGAAAACATTACTACTTATAAAATTAATCGAGGAGATGTAACAGAATTATGTACACAAACTTAAAGAGCTACGCGAGCGGTATGTCTTTATCAGTAAATCAGTAATATTCTACGATTGCATACTATATCAAATAAAGTTATGCAATCGTGGAATAATGCCGCACTACAACCCTTAGATTTTATCCTTGTTTCATAGTTATTTCTAATTTGCGCTATCATCTACGTTGTAAATGGCATACACTTGTAAGACTAACCCCCCGAAGGCTTTAGAAAGTGTGCTGAGCAAAGGTAGAGATATCCGAAAAGTAATTAGACTGTTGCATAATACTGACTGTGATTGCGCTTTGTCATTTTCCCTTGAAACTACCTAGCTTCAAAATAAAATGGAAGACACCATGCTGCAATTAGCGCAAAAGGTAGAATCTGTCGGCCGACAAGAAACATCTAATATGCATATGATTGAACTGAAGAAACGATTAAGTGAATTAGAAGAGGCTCTAAATGAACAAAACCAAGCTGTATTTCGTCAGGCTGAAAGAACAAAAATTATACAGCAAGAGTGTGACCTATGGCAGCTGAAATACAACCAGCTACAAACAAAAATTGAGGCCGAGAAGACCAGTGTCGAAGATTTACATAGGTAAGTTTTGGCTATCAATGTGATTTTAAATCATACCTAGTTGTGTCACACTTTTCTAATGAAACGCGGAGTTCGGAAGACTGATAAAAGGTTTTTTACACACTTCTTTTTTACTGTGTTGTACTGTTTAACTATTCTACAGAGTTATTATCGGCATAATGCTTTTTATCATTACGTGGTGGTCCAGGTTGTCACCTTCGGTATTTATGCATCGTAAGGAAATTAAAAAAGTAAAATAAAGAAACGAAAAGCATAAAATATGAGACTGTTTAATACTTTAAGCAATAAACAAAAAAGAAAATTGAGGAAGAACGACAAAAGTGGAGGTAAATTAAAAATTTGAAAAATATCTCCAACAATGTCTGACCATAAATCATTCTGATCGAGCAAAAGCGATGTATACACTCCTTCACAAGGCTATCAAAATTAAGCATCATAATTCAACCCTTTCGGGTGATGCAAATTTATATTTTCATACGGAAAATTGAATGTTTTACTTTAGCTTTCATAGGTTTAACTTGTCCATTCATAGTGTAACTACTAGATGATAGCTGAACTCCTGGAGCCTCCTGTAGCTTTATAACTCAAACTGTTATACTTTATCACATAACCTAAACACTGTTTTCACCTTCATGCAGTGCACTGGACTGTTCAATAACCAATCGGATTAACCTCCCGCATTGTAAATGAAACACTTCTTTCGTATTCGTGCAGAAGTTTCGTCATTAACACATAGAAGCACCACTGATTTTAAGAATTTCGTTAAAAAGGTGGATATGAAATTATGCCTGTCAATCAATTCCAAGCGTTAAAAGGTCCATACTGATTCGATTCAATTTTACAAATTAGACGGAGTGAAAATCAGAATAATCGCACTTTAAATTTCAAAAAAAAAATACTCCAGGTACAAAAAGCGAATACATTTATTGGTAGCATATTTATAGGCAATCACGTGCCACAAATGGAATATATATTCTAACCTCATGAATCCCGTTTAGCTGCATCTCTGTGAATTTAGTATTTGTCAATGAAATGTTTGGTCATTTCGCTTTACACTGTCATCTGAATCCATTCACATCAGAGTGTAGCTGCCTTCACGTTTGAATTGGTGTTCCACTCCTAGCCATAAGTTTTCATTTAAGCCTCTAGGAAATCCATATAGAATTCAGTCGATAACTAGTGGCGGATTATTATTCTGGTTCTAGGTTTCTCTTAGTCTGTTTGGCTTCACAACAGATTTTTGTCAAACACAGGTATACTTATTCGGAGGTGATATTAGACGGTTATTGTGCTGTATCACAAAGTCATACAAGTTAGAATTCATGACCAATGCAAATTTTCGATCGGTGTTTGAGTCTTGAACTAGAAGGAAACAGTTGCCCTTTGCTTCTTAGTTTTCAGTGGTTTCTTGATTTACACAGATTCGTGATATGATATGCCTTAAGGTCAAGGCTAGGTGATTCAGACTGAAAACTTGAATTCGAGAGTCACTTTCCACTTTGCTGTCTGCAAGGCCATCTTAAATATGACGATGATCTGTCGTATTATTGTTATAGTGTAAGCGCAACATAATGTTTAATATGCACACATATAAAGGTATTTGAGTCTGATAAAGCTTCTCATCAGTTGAAAGTTTGTTAAAAAAAAATCATCTTGAAGTGTAGTAGAGTGAAGTTACGAGTAATACTTATGATTAACTTTTATAGCCTAAGCACACTTATACTCTTAATTGCACTTTCTACCATTATCACATTCTCATTAAATTATCTTCGAAAGAAACGTATTCTTATACCTACGTGTTTTTGCAGACAAGAAATTGTGAAATTAACCTCACATATTGAACAGTTACAAAAAGAACTAGACAGACGTAATGAAAAACTAAATGAATTGGGTAATGAAATTAAACGCTGGAAAACAGAAGCAAGCAAATCCCCATCAGTAATGCAACGTCAGTTAACTGAACGCCTACGCATTGATCTAATCGAAAAAGAAAAACAAATTCGAGTGAGTGACAATTACTATTTTAAAGAATCTCTCTCGAGTTTTCCTATTGGAAAATTCTATTAAGTCGGTAAGACTGGAAAATTTCTTTTTATTAACCCTAGCCTTCTAGTAAGGAATTATTAGGAACTATGGTTTGTGAGACGCCGGTTTTACACAAGGCGGCAACGTAACTGCATCGGGTGAACGTTTGTCTGGCATGAGAGTTGTGTCAAGAATTTCTTATCACCTAAACTAGATACCCAGTGTTGATAAGCCCAAAACGCTGTTTCCTCTTTTGTAAGAACTGCATGGTGTACTGCAAATGGCTTTGGTTGCCAAACCATCTCTTTTTCCCTCATTATCATCGCACAGATTTACAGTCATAAAAATAATGAACCACAATACCTTTTCTTTTCTATGCATTGGTAAATCAGTTCGAGCGCTTATACCTAAAAGCATGACTTTCCTCCACATTAAATAGGCGTTCATAGAACCAATTTAACTGGAGTATAGAAGCATTCATTGTGTAATTTCTTCCTTAAAATTGATTGATACCAGCTATGTCTGATTGTATGCCTTTTCCACAGAAAGAAGTGATAATTTTAGGTGCTTCAATGACTGGCTACTTTTCATCTATGATTTTATCATTTAAACTTAGAATATTTACCAGTATGCATTTCAGCCATAGCATAAGTACCTGTATGTTTGTCAGTGAAGTGGGACAGTACAATTTTTTTTTAAATCTTCCATTAACTATTCACAGTTAATCACATGAAAAGTCTCATGAATGACCTCCAGTAAACACATTAACACAATGGCATAGATATGCGTTTGTTCTTTTTAATTAGATATTGATAGGCTGATATAAAAATTGGGTTAACTTATAAGTAAAGGAATTGGATTAAATCTGGTTAACTATTTCGCATTAGATTACTTAAAATTTATTCGTGTTTAATTTTGGAACTGAAAGCAAACTTTAATAATTAACCTCTGGTAATTTATCTACCTAGTCAGAAATCGTTACAGTTTGATTGTGATTTTTATTTCCAATTGAAATTCCTTTCTCTACTGTGATACACTAGCGTTTTCTTTGAGGCAAAAAAGAGTAAAACAAAAATTATTCAGCCAATGTTATTTCATGATAAACTCTTGTATCATTTGTAGGCAACATATAACAATGAATGATTCACATTGCATCTAAACAACTGTAAGTGTATAGCCAAGATTATTACTATCTACAACTATGCACAAAATACGTTGTTTTGAATGCTGTTTTAGTTGGCTTATTGAGAGATGTGACGGAATCAACCACTAAGATTGTCCCATAACGTGTAATATTATTGAAATGAACTAAAATAGTTCTATGTTATATCAGATGAACTTATCTAATATGGAACAGATTGTGTTTGACCACTTTTACTGTTGTAAGTCATTTAAGTGTAATTCGAACCCATATAATCCACATAATATGGAATGTTCTGTTTAAAATACTGTGTGGTGTAAGTAATTCATGTGATTTTTGTAAAAATGATTTTATTTAGAATAAAAACAAATGTATTTCATATTTTCAGGCCCTATCAAAAGCACTAGGAGAACTACGCCAAGATCTCGTAAGGCAAGCTGAACAAGCTGTTCTGGCTACCAATTCACTGCCTTCGGTTCAGTCTGTACCCCCAGTGAGAGACATGAAAGAAAAGGATACTGTCAATGAGACAGAAATATTGCCAATTAGCACAAAATCTGTTGAGTCGACAGGGCGACCTCAAGTGGATAAAATTAAAGATGAAATTAAAAATCAGCAAGGTAATTTTGTGGTTTATAACCTGTGTGTTAACAACAACTTTATACAAATGCATGGAATTTACTTAACTCTGAAAAATGAGATATATTCAACAGATAAGTCCATTTTTACCTAATATTTTGTAGGTTACAGATTCTGATTTTGCCAAGTTTTGCTCATTATTTGTTTTCGCAACAAAAATGTAGGAGGTAGAAAATGTACAGAGCAACTGATTAGTCACTAGGAAGTAATCATTGTCACATGTCTCATCCTTGTTGTTGGGTGAGTGAATTCCATCAGACAAGTTTAAACTGTGGTCACCAAGTTGGGTAACTCGCCATCGTCGTGCACTCTGAAGTTATGTTAGATGTTTAGTGGCAGTCAGCAGGAATCCGTAGACCTGGATTTAGTGCTTTTTGAACCTGAGCAGTTTAGTGGTAATGTCTCTTAATGAAGTACTTTGCGACGCAGTTTCAAATCTCAGATAGGATGTTAAGCCCTTCAAGGTGGCACACACATTGCTAACGAGTGCCAACAAGCATGAAGTCTATGTCCCAGTCTTCCTGTCAATTGCTTCCAGTCATCTAACAACACGATTTAGTTTGGTGATATTATCAATTCGAAAGAGGGGAAAAAGAATGTAAAATAAACAAGTAAGACGATAAAGGAATTTTTTTTGAAATTCGTATTTGATTCGTTCGACTAATAAAAAAATCTTATGAAAGTAATGTTTCATGATGTTCGTCTCACTCCTATGATAAATTAAATGCCTATTTTCGTTATGGATATATTTCAAACAATTTTTAACGGTTGATTACAAAAGTCGAGTGCGATGAAAAGTGAGTAGAACGTTTTAGAGTATTTTGATTAATTGATATGAGTAGATTTTTACTTAAGCGTATAATGACATATCACACCAGTTAGCAAAGCAAGATAAGAACAATAACGAAGTTAGAAATTCTACTGACTCACAAGAGTCACAGTTATGACTTTTCAGAGTTGCCTCATTTTGCTTTTATTGCACCTTGAATATTATTTGAGTGGCATTACATACACTCATGGGTGTATTAATAGAGGACAGTTTATTCATGCACAGAGATTTTCAAAAGTGATGCTTGCTAATTCAATGCATAACCTTGTTTGACTTTTGTAAAATCTTTTTTCCACTGTTTTCTTTGGTGAAGGTGAAATACTAAAACTTGAGGAAATAAACAAAAAGCTTGAATTAGAATGCAAGGAGTTACACAGTCAGCTGGAACGTGTTAAAAGTATCAGAGTAAGTGAAACTATTCTATTTTAGCAAACAAATTTCCGATACTTTAATTCATCAGGTTAGGTAGAAAATTTAAATGCTACAACGGATAACTGCACAAAACATTTGACAAACTCCTTCGTCGTTTATAACTACATTATCGGTAAATATTTTCAACATAAAATGAAGTACTGCGACACTGTCCTGTGTCATTCGGATATCTGACAGCATATTTTGACTGAACATATCAGAAGTAACCAGCAAATAAACCTGTTCTCAACGTACAAACACACAAACACCTCAGTCCGTTTCAGATACTAGACAGTCATATTCGGCGAGATGAAAGATGACACATTTTAACTTTAGCTGGGGATTTAATAGCTTTAGGTCAGCTTACATTTTATTTCCACTATCTCAAGTGTCTGCCATAATACGTCATTAAATACGAATGTTCCTCAGAATTCGTCGCATTTATTCATACACCTTTTGTGAAATCATCACTTTTAATCCAATATAACTGACAGAAGCTACATACTGTGGATGCATCTTTCTTGTCGTTGGCTGTCGTGATTCAACATTGTTGGTGACCATAGTGAAGATTCTCTCACTTCTCACCATATTTTTAACCTAACGAAATCAGTTTACTTGTATCAGTAATTTCAAACACTTCCAATCAGATCTACTACCTTTGCAAGACATAAGCTGTCTTCACTTATGTTTCCGCGATAGACTGTCTTCTTTAAGATATGTGTCACTGTCATATCATCCACAGCTTTAAGAACATCAAATTTACAAGGATAACCATCGCGAAATCTCACCATAAAGTTTATTATTTTATTTAAGCACAAAAGCCTTGGTACAATATGGCACGGAGAAGATCCGCCATAAATGGAAACTGTCGTATCTAATGTTCTTTTTCTTAACCACAAAATAAGTTGGCAAAGTTGCTACTTTTCATAACTAGATATGAATTTCCTTTTTTGTGTGAAAAACGTTAGTGGCGAAAAACAGAAAGCATTTATAAATTTCTTCAGTTTTCATGTTAGCGGCTATACATAATGAATGATTTGTTGATATTTACTTTCAAATAAAGGCGTTAGATGCTCCCCAACAGAAGATTGATGAACTGACTCGGAAGAATCGAATGCTTGAGGATGAAATTAGCAGATTAAGAATGATACCTGAAAAGCCATATCAAGAATCAAATAAAAATAACAAAGTAAGTTATGCTTTCGATTCTTGGAGGTTAACCTCCTGGACAACAAATAATCGTAGTATAATTTGGTTCTTCTTAATATGAGATAAACTGATGACCTTAGTGAACATTTAACTGGATAGTTAATCCCAGCATATTTATTTAAAGAACATTAGATAATGTTAGAAATGATCACACATCATAAATATAGCCATTAGCTCAGGTGAAATGAAAGATTCCTACTGCAACACCCTTATGAAGAGATTATAATACTAACTCAACGCATCTCAGCTTCATCCCATGATAATACATCTTGAATCGGTTCTCTTTATCTACCCCTAGTCACCAGTTGTCCTAAAATTGCGGTTTTATTTAAACTTTACTGCGCTTAAACAATTAGCCATATGAGAAAATCCTGAGAATTACCCGGTTAACCGAAATATCTTGATTCTGAGCAGCTACAATTTGAATGTCTGTTTTAAGTCACTATTTTTCTGCAAACGCTGTATTTATGATTTTACATAGTGATTCACATGGAAACTACTGTAGTCTGCCAAGTTATTAGTAGACGGTTATCCGATAAAAATGATTTCGTAACAAACAGATTGTCAAACTATAGCTGTTTTTCAGCTCAGATGAGCGTTTCTATGTGGCTGTCTACTCTACGCTGGATGATTTCATTGTGAAGCTTTGATTGTCCTTCTAGAGAAAATCTAGAGAAACGACTTCAATTTGAAGTAAGTTTTTCGTCCCTGCTAATGACCTTTGATTGGTTATCCTCAAAGGTCTTATTATCCTTGTATTAATTTGTTTTGGCATCTATCGTTCATTGTACATGTAAATGTAAACGAATAAATTCATTGCCAACAATGATTTTTATTTAACAAAGGATTAAAATGAAAAATATCAGGGATATAAAACTTATTGATATAAGTATAAAACATGGGCACTGTGGCAGAGTATAACTCCATTATAGAAAATATTTTATTTTGACAAATCACACGAGTGACAGATTGATGGATGAGTTTCGACATATACATTCAGTTTTATTAGCTAATGGTTATCCGGAAAACTTCATCACTTGTCACAGTAAAGAAAAACCACATCTCGAAAAGGCAGCTTCTGTACCAAAAAAAAAAGCGATCTTTATTAACCTACCATTCAAGGGCGACCAGATTATGCAGTTGACAGTTCAAAGACTTCGTTCAGTCACCAAACGCACATTCTACGCCGAATCTCTTTTTCTCATTCGTCGAACATTTTCGATCCCTGTTCCTACGATTAAAGGACGAAATTCTGTGGACTCTACTTCAAACTGTATCTACAAGTTCACCTGCAGCTGCGGTGACACACACTATATAGGTAGAGCCAATAGAATGTTCCAATGTTGTCGATTAGAACATGTTCCAAAATGGCTACTAAATCATATAGAAAATCCCGTCGCGATTAATCTGAATAGAAATCCAGCATCATCCATTGCAAAACACTTATTAATTACAGGTGACAAAATCAATATTAATGACTGTTTCACAATTATTTCACATTAATCTAATTCAAGGTTATTGAAGGTGATGGAAGCACTTTGGATTAATCACATACAGCCTAAACTGTGTGTACAAAAAACAATAGACTTCAACCTTCGTCTACAGTGGACAACATGACCTACCTAAATGTGATTGGTCATTAGTATGCACTTTTGTTTTTTATTTAATGAGTAATTATCATGAACTTTATTTTATCATTGTTAACCATGTTAGTTGTAAAGCGGTTGTAAAGGAACTAGGAAATGATATCATCTCGCGAAATTTGTCTTCTTAATGCTTTATTGAAATTTATCAAAGGGACTAATTGTTTTAATTAAACCACATAATGTTGTACAGTAATATTAACTGATGACCATGTTTCGAGCACAAACTATTGCCACTCATAATCATATCCAGTCACTCACACAACTTCTTACTTCTTTTTTTATCTTGTATTGATTTTTACTCAAATGTCTAAGCAATGCCAATCATGCATATAAATGAAGTAAAAAGTTGTGTGAGTGACTTGATATGATTATGAGTTGCGATAGTTTATGCTCGAAACATGATCATCAGTTAATATTACTGTATAACACTGTGTGACTTATCAAAGTAAAATATTATCAATCATGGAGTTATATAAAACTTAATAATGTCTTGTCACTTCTGCTTTTGTATTCATGCTTTTAGTCCCTAAGTGAGCATTTCAGTTTGAACTAGGTTCCATTGCATCGTACACAAATTTCGCTAGAAACATTGTTCATCACGAAATTATGACAAGCAAAAATACACTAGCAGACATCCTACTACAAATCCAGAAATGATTTTGATTAGGCATGTATCTCTTACTGTAAACAGATTTCTTCTTATCAAAGTTAACATTGAAACTAGCCATGAGAACTGTTCACTAAATTTTGTTTTCTTAGGATTCTGAAATGTCATCCATGATACGAGCCAGCTTGGCAAATGAATGGGAAGCACGTAAACGTTTGGAAGCGGAAATAAATAAAGTTAAAGAACAATTGACTAAAAAGACTTCAGAATTGAATTCATTACATAAGCAACTAGAACTAACTAGAAATGCACTTGAACGAACAAACAAGTAAGAATGATGTCAATGAATATTTTTCTGTCCTAACATATACTTTACAATAGTACGAATGAAACTGGAAATTTGTTTCACTTTTCTTCATCAAGCAGTTATCTTATTTCAACATTTTGTATGACTATACACTTAAGTGGTACCATTATTTGATTATCACTTATGCGTTGCGTGTAGCTCACTGAGTTACTTTCGTTTGGCTATTTCATTGATACAAGACACCTGTTTCACAGTAGTGACCTGAAGGTCTCTTTTAAAACAAAAATAGAAGCAATTGCATGCTTCCAACTTAAATCACATCTTTTCCTCAGTTGATGTACTTCAGTGAAACCCGTTTGTGGTAAATTGGACAGCAATACTAATGTATGTGTAAAACTTGGACACTGTGGTAGTAAGTAATTCCATTTTAGTTTGTTTATTAGATGTAGCACACAGTGAAACAGTATTATTTACTGGATCCAGTAAATAAAGGCAGCAGCTATGAAATGTAAAACAATGGTTTCGTGTATGGTTTTGGGGAGCTTAAAAAACGACGTAATTAAAAATAATCCTTTTTATGATAGTTGTACAACTCATATATGAGAAGTATTCGTTTTCGAAGATCATGTCTAGTCTGATTATTTTAAGAGAATGCGAACTGACAACCAAGAACAGCATGAAACTGTTTAATCGTTATTCATTTAGTCATTGGTTATCATCATCTGCCTATCACTCTGCCTCTAAGAAAGACTTTGAATTCAGCAAAGACTGTTTATTCACCATCAACAGTTCGGGCATATTTATGTCGAATTTTCCAGAGGTTTACCTTCTAAATGCCAAATTAGTGAAATTACAGATTTATGGGCATAATAAGGTGAGCAACATTGAAGTTAGGCGTCGAGTGCTAGGTAAACAAGGGAAATCAATCGACGAAGTCGTGAAGTTACAAAGACTGAGATGGTCAGGACATGTGTTACGTATGCCAAGCCATCGCCTCCCTCGACGAGCAATGTTAGCGGATATAGGGTCAGGCTGGAAAAAAAGCTAGCGGCGGTCAAACAAAAACTTGGCTGCACCAGTCAATGAAATCCACAACAGTTGGTCTAAGCCACGTAGGAAGGTGTAGACTGGCTTACTGGTTGGGGTCCTCGGGACGGTAAAAATCTATGGTTGGAAACAATTGGTGACATGGCTCAAAATCGTTCTCAGTGGCGCAGATGCATCCACTCCTTGTGACTTATGATCCCCAATGAAACTGTTTTGTATTTCTTTATTACTCCTTTGTCTCACACCTCTGCTCACTGTTTCTATTATGCTTTTCTTGTACTTTCTTCTCTTGCTTCGCGTGCTACACGGAATGTGGCGACTTGAACTTCCGCACATTTGTGCAAAGTTCTATGTCGAAAACAGACAGACAGACAGACTCATTTACCGATGTTATTAAGCCAACATACTTCGTTGTTATTTGTTTTGAGTCCACAAGTTAGAAAGAAGAAATTCTCAAAATACTTCTGTATTTTGATTAGTGAACTATCTCTTATCTGCCGGTCTGCTTTGTGAGTTTATAATGTATTATTTGGATATACACATAAAGATACACCAATTTCTATAATCACCATAAATAAATTTAACTTTTCAGACAAAATGAACAACTAAGAAAGAAAGTTCACGAACTATGGGGACCTGGAGAGACCTGTGACCAAACACATGATCCGAATACAGAGGCAAAGAAAGAAAGTACAACTGAGTCATCAGTTTCAAATGTTGCTGAACGTGTTGAGCTGCACAAACAAGTTGAACAGTTACAATCTGAAGTCGAGAGGCTTAGAAGAGCTCAAAGAATGGTAGCAGGTTTACCACCTGGCACAAAATCTATGAATACAGATGCTATGCTAATACAAGTTAGTTAATTTAGTATATTCAAGTTGATCGCGAAAATATCAGTCAAAAATGCATTGGACCACAAAATATGTATTAGAGTTTATATGAACAATGTTTACAAATGAGTCACCACGCTGTTCACGGACATTTACAGATACCTGAAGATAATTCTATCAAAATACACGATCCGTTTAGTATTACTTTAACAAATAATAAACCGACATGCAAGTCTGTCTAGCTATTATAATCTGAAAAATATGTTTTATCAGTGTTCATCTTGATACATTATAACTTCAGGGCGAATTATCTGTAATTTTAAAACACTGTGTGAGGGAGGTACCACTAGCTATTAGTCGGTGTAAAGTAGTTAAATTCCCCTCCTCCATAAACATTTAATTCATGTGCAAAAAACCAAAGTGAAAAATAGTAGATATAGACAACAGACAATACAAACACCTAAGCGACATAAAATTTTTTCACAGATCACGATAAATTTTATAAGTAATGGAGACGATTTCGGCGTTGTTGCATTCTTTCAGATAGAAGGTTTAATTGTAAAGCTTTCGCCAACTTTCTTTCAGCGTTAACTTCAAATTTCACTTGTTTGTTATGTAGAAGAATAATGAAAGCCCTTCAGTTAAACCGTCCAACTCAGAAAATATAACTTCATAAAAAATATAAACTGTACAGCACGAAACTGTTCAGATATTTTCTGCTTAATTTTTAGTTCAATAAATGTGTTTATTCCATACCTGTTATTCAATTTCACAGTGAAATTTCTTCAATTTATGCGTAAGATCTATACCTGCAAGCGGTAACAAGGCAGATAACCAGGCATGTCACTGACTAAACAAACAGACGTATTTATGCCATCATAGGGAAGTGATAGGGATTTACTCAAACTTGTTAATTCAAAACTGTTTTGTTTCTTGAGGCTACCTGTAGCGTCTAAAGAATAAATTGATGGTTGAATACTAGCTTTTCCATTTAGCACCACCAAACACACTGTGTATTCTTGCCTGTTAATGTTTATGTGCCGCACTCAAATGATTTAAGGAGTACAGAGTTGTAACTAACAGAATGGGAAGCTATTTTTTCACATGATAGTAGTTTATCTATTTCATTGTATTAATCATGCAGACTAATTATTAAAGCTAATTCTGGATTTTATCAACTTCTGAAAAACTCAGTAAGACCGATGGTACAAGCAGTAAATGTCGTTAGTTCACTTTGGAAAATGACCACTCTATAGCTGAATTCAACTCAACGGCCATCTATGGGTAGTAAAAATGAATATTGATTCCAGTATTTATGTAAGAATATGTATGAAAAAACGCATTTCTAGGCAATCAACACACATAAAAATCCTTTTTAGCTAAAGCGTAGAATGTTGCATTGAATTGTACTTTGATATGTATCCTTAACTTGAAGAATTATTTAACTGTGCGATACTGGAGCAGATTAAATTCAACTTTAGATCACTTTTGTTAGCAACTAGTCAAATGCATATTTCTCCTGAAGAAATACGAGCCTGAATAGCTCAGCAGTAACGTCTATGAATGGGACACTAGATGAAACAGGTTCGAATTTCAGGAGGGATATAAGTTCCTTCACAGTTGTAGATACTACTTGCTGATCAGTGTCAACAAGCATGAAACCTAGGCTCAAAGCTTCCTGCCGATTACCTCCATTCAGTTAAGAGTGTGACGTGATGGGAAGTAAACTAACAAGGTGACCACACTGCAGTACTGACTGATAGAATTCAGTTTCCACCAAACAAAGGGATAGACTCATAACATGAATTACTTACAACCTGATGTTCAATAAAACTTATAGAAAAAACTGTATTACTGAAAATACAGTCATGCGTTGATGTTGGAATGTATTCCAGTTTCAGCGTAATTGTTGAAACATTGACTTACCCTCTAAACACAGTCAGGATTTGCAAGCGACACATCTATCAAATAACATGTGTTAGAATATTAATTCATTCAGGTGTGCTTTACTAGCATTTTTCGTCGCCTCAATTAAAAATAGGTGATACGTGGACGTATTTATAGATAAATATGAACTAGATTTTTAAGTAGTTTAACTTCTAATAGAGTAATATATGAATAAAAGCCTGCTGAATTAGTTTCTTCGTCATGGTTAGAAATGCTTCAAGGATAAGTATATCTAAATTCGACCTCAGTGGCCTGAAGAGTATAGTTCATTTCATCAGGCAATAATCCAAAGTATGATATAACGTTATAAAGCTTATTGATTCTGTTTCACGCTTCGGTTGAGTTCCCATTGCTTGAGAAAATCCCTAGTAATTTAAAGATTTTCTTGGAAGTGCTTCAGCCATCATCACCATCTGAATTATATCTGACCCTTTTTGCTACAAAATGTATCTGAGATATAGTTCCTCGGTGACAACATCAGCGAATTAATAACACAGCGCCTGAAGAATGCAGTTAAAAGAACTTATTATGCAGCAGAGGTACGTTGTCTCTTTACAACCACACCTATTTGTATGTTCGAGAAATAAGGATAAACTACCTAAATTCGACTCCTCTATGTGTATCTACCAGTTTGACTGCAGCTGCGGAGCCAGCTACATTGGGTGTACAATTAGGCAGGTTCATCGCCGTATTTCCGAACATCATCCAACGTGGTTAAGTAAGGGACAGAAAAGATCTATTCGTAGCTCTATTTTAGCCCACCTCGTTGATACTGACCATAAGATTGATGTTAATACAGCATTTAAAATTATTTATCGCACTCCAACTTATCTTAATTTTGCTCTGCGAGTTCGTCTTCTACAGACGGTTGAAGCGATTGGCATTCATCTGAAGAAGCCAAGCCTATGTGTACAGAAAAAATTTGTACAGCCACTTTCCCTACCGTGGCCATCGTCACAAGAATGGATAAACAGGACTGCGTCGCCCCCTCCCCCTAAACCTATAAAATTATATTTGTCTAAATTATTTATTTTATTTTATTTATTTTGACTACTTCATCTTTAATTACGTGTTATTCTTGTAAAATTAATTTATTCTATCCATTTCCACCTTTTAAATCTGTATTGATTTTCTTCGTTAACTATTAACCCACTGACACTGTTTAATTATTGTTAACAAACTTATCTCCACTTGATTGGCAAACTGTTGTATTGGAATTAAAATGCTATATATATTAGAGTAGAGCCAAAGATGAGGATCTAATTGAAAAGTAAATATTTCTTCGCTCAATCTTTCTGTTTTCTAAATATCTGAGATACGTCAAAACTGATATCAGTAGTTTGTTTTACTTAGCCACTGATTTTTCGTTTATAAATCTGATTTGAAATATTTATTACCATTTGATTTTGACTCTTCATCCTTCTTGTCACAAATTTTTGAGAAATAACACTGAGACGAAAAATTAACATTTTCTTTTTGTAGAGTGCAGAGATGCGAAATAAGATTTTGTCAGACCGCATACAAGATTTGGAAAAGCAACTGGTCGACAAGGGTTTTGTCAGTCAGGCAAAAATGCAGTTGGAAGAAGCCATCCAGCGTGACTTATTACGGCTGAATAATGAAAATATGGAACTTAAGTTTGAACTAGAAACTTTGAAATCAGACGCATCACGTTATAAAGTAAGTGCAGTGTGATACTTTTGTGGTGTATGAAGAGGGATAAATCAATAAACAGATGTGCTGTTTGTTTAATGATTCATCAGTTAGACTCAATTGTTCACCATCTCGTGCTAACAATGAAATCTCATAACACTTTACCTATTCAATTTACGTATCTTATATTTTCATTTCCACCTAGTTTACTCCATACTGCTTCATTTTATGCAGCCTGGTGTGTAATACTTCACAGCTTTATGCAATGGGTAGTCGCGGTTCAACTATTTAAGCTAAATTTAAGTCCCCCACCCCCACCCGGCAGAAATCTATTCCGTACTATTCCGTGAAATGGTTTTCGTATAACATGGAACTAAGTATCTTCACGAAGTAGGTTTGTTCACGAAACGACATCAGTTAGATAACCACCCTGCAACAATACGCAACCACGAACCAACTTGAGATCCAAATCAAGACCTTCTGGTTAGAAGGCAAGTACGTCGCTATTCCGCCACTGCGAAAAAATTTAGTGGCCAATGTTAACATTACTGCATTGTTTCTGTTAAGATGATGAAGACAATACATTATTCATTCGACGAAAACCTCGTATTATATTTCTGAAGAATCAAGCATTCTTAGGATAGTGTAATTTCTACACTTTAAAATACCTACTTACTTTTTAACCAAAACTAAAGGCATTCTTCGTTTGTTGTTTAAAGCTAGTCAGACGTAAAATATCCAGAATCACTCTCTCGTTGAAACATTTAGTCTGACGTGATATGATATACCAATAAGAGTTGACTTATTTATTGGTCTGTCTGATTATAGTCATCTTGGTGATAAGAATAGGCTGTTGGAGCCTTGTTGAGACCACTTATCCATGCTGCAGGTGTATTCAATTCCAAACAACTTAAAAATTCTGAATATTGCAAATCTCCATTTAATTGCTCCCTTTCCACTGTGTCTTTTTCTCATATATTTTCAACAATTTTCCTTTCTCTACTTTTTGGGGCTTTTTCGTGGTGTCGCGAATTAAGGTTACACTCTCTATTACATAGTTATAGATTTTAACACAGTGGTGATAATTTGTAGCTCAGTTGGATATTTCCGACTTTGTATACCGTCTAAGCTTAATGCTTTAATTGCTAAGGTTTCATAGTCCTTCTAAGGCAACGTTTCCCACATTATCTTCCCAATGAAATTAGCTGATGTCATAGTCATTTTTATGTAATGAATAATATTATTTCGTCTCACTCCTGGCTAATCTCATCAGTACTGTTTCGTCATTCCATTTGCTTTCACTTAACTAATATTAAAATTTCTCTTCTACAGACTAGAATCCACGACTTGCAAATCTATGTTGACTTACTGAAACAAGAAAAAGAATTGCTGCGTTCTGGTCAAAATCTGGACAAATCGTTCAGTTCCGATAGCAGTACAATGAGTAATATCAAAAGAGTGAGTTGCTTTCGCTTATAATTTATCTACACTTACAATGTTCATTTTAAGATATGACGGTAATGTTGGACACCAAACCTAGTACTAGTACTTCCAACCTTTTTGATCCTATTACTGGTTCAGAAAGCTTGTGTCACCAAATGATAGGAAAATTTCTGAGTGATGTTTATTGGTCGAGAGATATTTTGTGTCACCTATCTTAGCCACCACAATACAATATACTGTGTGCCACCCACAGATTTTGTGCCTAAAAAATACTCCATATCTGTGAGAAATTTTACAGTTAACTGATAGGAGCTGTAGGATTCAATCAGTCTTAATGATTACACCACCTCCTCCCTGTCTATCAATTTCCAGATAGTTCATGTTTTCACTGACAGAAAAACAAGATAATGCCTAAAAAATTAAGATTCTGAAAACTAGAATAATCATAAATTTTCAGTTTATATGCAAAAGTCACATGATCGTTACTTAATTATCCGTTCTGACATTTAGAGAACATCATCTGACCAAACTGTAAGGTGAAGAGAAATACAATAGAAGTTGCTTAACTACTGTTACTTGTAAATGTCAGAACTGTAATGCATGATATCCTGGAATAATGGGATATTTTTTACCACTTAGGTATAAATTATTTATAGTCCAGAAATTTTTCGGATTTGTTGAAAGTTGCAGTCTATCATGAAACCCCGATGAAGTTGAAGCAGATGCCGTTTTTCATGTAGCACTAGTACAAATGAGCCTGAAGCAGAACAAAATAAAACGCTATTCACTACTTGTAGAATTTATGATAGTCTGTGTTTTGATGATGACAGTCAAGAATTTCTCTGGTATCTTTATCATACGAACAGGCAAACTGGATCATGCATCGGTTTTGGAATTTCAGATGGATTGCCTTTGATGAAATCAACTAAATTTTATTAATGAGGAGTTACTTGGAAAATATTAATAATTTCTATAGTAAGGGGATGAAGAAAGTACTTACGTAAACAGTATTTTTTTCAAGTGGATTTCTGGCTTTGTCAGTAGAATGACAGGAATGACTTCATTTGTTCTTCATTATACGAACAGTGAAAATAGCCTGATTACTTCTTAAAAAATGTTTATATAGGTTCGATAGGCAAAGTCTTATAAAATAAACACTAAGAGCAGGTAATACTAAATAAATGAAGATGTAATTGCGCTCAGGCAGGGTTTTAGTGAATTAATAAGAAAACCAATAGAAAGATTAAAAGGGATGAGATTTGCACCCATGTTAATTTCAACTTGAACCCTTTGTAGTTTATTAGCCTCTAAATAAATATGCCCTTGAGTAAATGAGTAATCAGTATGTTAGGGAAAAGGTTGTGTCGATGTATAACACATGTTAATCTAACCTTACTATGTTTGTAGTGAATTGAAATTCTTTAAAATACTGCAACAGATGATATAAGTTGAATATAGTTGAATACTTAGTTATGTATGTTATGCATATATGCTGCAACCATTCCCTTAATCATTCACGGCCAAAATGTCACAGTCTACAGGAAAATAAATGTGTCTACAATGTTATCAGCATAAATGACTAGTATTGTAAAATGTGAACAAACTGAATGCCAGCCTGACGCATTATAGACAGTTGGCTAGCTGCCAATCGTGCATATTTGAGTTTCGCTAAACTTAAGTGAAAACATTTCTGTGTCTGATACAAAATAATGGCTGACTTTACGAATAATTTAACCCTCTAAAGGGAATATGTTAATCGAGTTACAAAAACGAATAAGAGAAAATAAAGAGATTTTATTACCAAATAAAAAAGTCAGGATCATTTCCAGCTTGGATCTACAGATAACTTAGTTAATACTCCTAGAATAATAGTCAACTCCTCATAGGTGTTTAATTCATATAGTTGGTTAATAAAAGAAATAAAATAAAGATAAATTTTGAAAGAGGAAACATAACCTTTGTCATAATCAGACCAATGTTCTAACAAACTGATTAGTAATAAAATTTATTATTATTATTATTTTATTACCATTGGTTTAGAGACAAAACTGACTGACAGAAGCTGAACTAATTAAACAGTGGGCTGATAGGAATCTGCCCAAATTTAATCTCTTGATAATTCAGTATTATTAGAGTAGGCTAAAGTGTTCAGACTGTCTATGCGTAAATTATAGGTGTGGTTTTTCTTACTTTGATTCAAGAAAACACCCTTATCTGTAAGTGACACAAACTATTGTAGTAGGAGAGCTGTTAATTAGTGCACGAATATTTCATATATTCTATAAGATTCTGAAACAACAGCAACTATGACTTTTTATGTGGTTAAATGAAGATTTAATTACCACTATGCATTAACCAGATGCCACTAATGTTGGTATCACGGCTTACACGTAGTTTATCTAACAGCTTCACGGCTACATACATAGCATTCTTACTAAGTCTTTTTCAAATCATGTACCTATCGTCAGAGAATAGACAGTGTTAAATAAAATTAGATGACAGTTGGAAAGTGATGACGACAAATCAGTGAAAAAAAATAATATAATAACTGTTGCAATGCTTTTCTAACCGAGAATCACACTACAGAGTGAAAGACAGTAAAATTTCTGAAGTCTACTGTAGTAAATTTCCAGGCTTTGCAATTACCTAATCAAAATGTTTATCACAGGTGTCTGCCACCATTGTCGTTAACAGAATTAACTTCAAAATGTATGAATTAGTGGGCAATTAACTCTGAGATTATAGTAATAATAGCAATAATAAGTGCATGCAAAGGTTTATGCAGTCTTAGTTATTAATCCTTCTTATTGTATAAGTGAAATATGTGTGTTTGCAGAGCTAGACAGAAAATATAACTATTGACTCTCAGTAATTAGATGATAGGGTGTTTGGTTTGATTGTAATATTTAGTTAGAAAAAGAAATATAAGAACTAGGAAGTGACCTGTCACATAGTGTGTGTAAAATTTACCATCTTTTGTATGATTTCAAAACGGATTGACGTTAAGCCATTGAGTTTGACCGCTTCTAAATGTACTTGTAAATTTGACTGCTATTGCGGAGACAGTTATATAGATAGAGCTACTTGACACCTTCACACTCCTGAGCATTCACTAATTTGGTTAAGAAGACGAAGCATATAGTCTATTAAAAGTTCTGTATTACAGCACCTAGTGGATACGGAGCATAACAAATGACTCTCCAGTCATTATATATATATATATATGTAGTACAGTCAGTTGAAGAAACAATCGAAAAGAATATTCTTTATCCAGTTTTTATTGTCCTTTAGTCAAGTGTTTTCAAATTACAGTCAAAGTTATTTGAGATTTTTGAGTTTAAGAATGATCTACCTCAGAAAACTAGGACTAGAAATCTAGACAAACTCACTGTGAATCTTGTTCTCACTAATGAACAGGATAACCTATTTAAGCTTCAAAGCGAATTCCTAATTCTTTATCGCTGCTGTACCAATACTGATCGTTTTTCCTTTTTGTTGGATTTCTACTTGTGTTATTAAAAATGCCTAGTGGCGGATCACCCTTGAAACATATTGACTAAAAACTAAAAGCCCTATTGTCTGTTCAAGAAGAAACTCCATACGTTCGGTTATACATGCTAATTTTTCATAGTGGCGTCACATTATTCAGTCTGACATCTGATAGTATGTCTAGACGAGCTAAAGGTAGTCACTTCTGTAAGTGATGTCTTTACAAAAACCACTTCTCTAGAGGTGCACTCGGAATCTTGTTCCAGTAACCTCTGTACCATTCACTGCTTCTTTGTTCTACAACTAACCAGAAGAAGAGCAGCCCAATTCACCCCATGATTTGGCTTCGCAGGATGAAGAACAATCGCGTATCCCTTGAATTTGTTAGTGGATGACAGCCTTTCTGTTAATCTGTCGGAGACTTTCGGTGTCACTGTAGCGTAGAATTATAATCAATGGTAATACCAAGATTTCCTAGTCTTTCTAAGCTATGGTGCGAAACGACGCTACCATGAATTGTATTAAAGAAAAGCTTAAATTTTGTGTTATCTTTAAACCGTATGTTTTTCCTAATCTCTTAACATTGCTGCTTAATTATTTCGGGTGTTGCTTTTCTTGACATCCATACAATTTTGCCTAGATACTTAACATTCGATACGTTTCGCCTAATAATTCATGAAAACTGCAAATGATAATGATTTCATTCTTCAACCATTGACTTTTAGGATTATTTTACAGTTAGTCAAATAGCCTAATGCTTTTAAGCTTATAATACGTATTATACTATACTCTTTGTTCGACACTCAGGATACACAACCGTTTATAATGAGAAAAAACATGGTTCCCTTTGTTCAGTGGCAATATTAACTTTACCAGATAGTTGTTCATTCCAACTTGGAAAGCTTTACTCTACATGAAGTCTTTAGCTTCTTAAGTAGATTTAGATGGATAATTATAAGTGCCTTCAACCGCTATATATATATATATAACACCAAATAAGGTTTGGATGTGAAGTCGAAGATATTTTTCATCCGGTGGATTTCTTCTGCTTACACACTAACGAACTCAGTGAAAATTATTTGGAACAGTTTATTCTATGAATTCATAACATATGGAATGGGAGCTTTGTTAAGCATTTTAATCTCACGCTGACATTTTTCTGCGCTAACTAGCGTCTATTCATATTTGTGACTAATATTACAGTGTCTTTGTCTCACAGTAAAGATACTGTGTTTGATCATGTTGCCCTAAATTCAAACTCTTATTGAGCATACCCAAATTACTTAAAATAGAAAATAGTCTAAAAAACACAAATAAGTGAATACTTCACAGTATTGTTTGGAAACTGTGACTAACTGTGACAGCACTTACACTTGTTGATATATCATATCCAGATTAATATTCTCGTTTGTAACCCCTCCTGACAACCTAGCAGTCTTGCAACTGAAATTTAGTGTGCATTTTAGAATCAAAAGTCGAAACTATGCATTTAAGCTAGTTAAATTAACTACCTTCGGGAAAATGATTCTTTCAGTTCTGTTAATGTAGAGAAATATCCGAAAAGCGAAGTTATTAATAATTAATAACGAATATTTTATGTAATGTCACACACTAGTTTAATGGACAGATGTGTTTCTCCTTACTCAATCAAATATCTGTGTATTCATCATCACTTTCGTTTTCCAACACAATGTTTTTCCATTTTCTACGATTTTCTTCTGTTTCACAATGTTGTAATAAGCTTTCAGCTTCTACAACCCCATTTTTCCATGCATGCATCAGTAAATCCTTCAGTTCATTAACTGTCAAGTAATTGTCTTCCATATGATTTTTAATATGTGCGATGACATAATTATACGCGGCTATTGGATTTTTATTTTCTAAAGCAGATATTTTCAACCAATACATAGCTTCTTTATACTCTTCCTTAGAATTGGCTGCATATAGTAGATGTTGGCTTAGACGATTTTGAGCCTCCTATGAAAGAGGAACATAAAAAAGAAAAAAAAACTCAAGGTGAGATAGGATGAAAGTAGACAAAAAACGGTTTACATGACAAAATGACTATGTGAACAAAATATGGAAAGTCATCACATTTCTCTACTTCAGGTATATTTTAAAACTAAATACAATCCTTAGCGTTTATAAAACTGAATAAAGTAAGAACTACAAGTTGTCATTGTATCGTTCAGTGGATTTTATTTAACTGTCTACAACACAAACAATATCGAAATGTATGATTCATAGTGTAAAGTAGACATATATTTTGCAATTTGACAGGGTGCTGATAGACACAACACGGAATGTAAATATTTAAGGTAAACGTATTTGGTTACAGAATTTCATCATGAGCTGACATTGGTTAGAGAACCATTGGAACTCCCGGGAGTACTGGACAGCTATTGCGTCCTAGTTTGGGACTCTTCAACAGTACGCACCCACCGGGGTTCGAACCCAGGACCTTCTGGTTACAAGGCGAGGTCGCATACCATTAAGCCATTGGGACCCGATCCAATGGCCCATGAATTCTAACCTCTGCCAATTCACGATATAGCGTACTGCTGAAGAGCCCCAAACTAGGACGAAACAGTTTCCCAGTACTCCCAGGTTTTCCAATGGTTCTCTAACCAATGTCAGCTCATGATGAAAAATCCTGTAACCAATCAACCAAATCCCTACACACCAATACTTGAATATAAACGTATTTCTTTGGGTTGTTGCAAATTAGCTGAACATTCTTTAAACAGAAAGTTAAGACAGTAGAAATAACGAATAACTAGACTATAAAAAGAATCAAAAATTTATCCTTGATTACTATTATTGTTGTCATTCGCTTTTTGATCAGATGTTCACTTAATTATAAAAGCATGGACTTGTAGAAGAATGATAGAGAATCAATCAACTGAATAGTTTTTGATAAAAATTGATGGAACATACCACCAAATATGTTTCATTTGACCTTTACAGTAATGTTTTACATCAGAGTTCAATCAAAGAAACGATACTCACTCAGGTGTTTTCTATATTGTCTTCTTTATTTGGCAAAGCATACAGTGGAACATAATGTGAGAATGCGAATTTCCACACATGCATTAATGAAACTGGCAGTCTTCCATTTCAGAATTTCATCAGTAAATTCACACAACTCTCACTAGCTGAAGCAAGTTCCATGAACTCTTACACAGTCAAAAAAAATCCTGTAAATAATATTAGATCATTGTGTACTTTGTCAAATAAACAAGCTCACACGGAATTATACACTACCATAATGTTGCCTTTACTCTTATATCGAAGGTTTCCAAGCAAATAGTTTGTGTCTATGATAATATGCAAAAATAACAAACCACCAGATAATACTCCCTAAGTGTGGTGCCGTGCGATATCATTCAACATTTTCAACCTCACCATCATCCAGAGTAAATAAACTTCCTCCTCTAACTTATTAAAATTTAAGAACAATGGAAAGTTATCTCAGACTTTTAAAACTGAATGACTAACTAGTTTCAGCGTCAAACTTTGCACTGATGTGCAGCAGTTCGAGTTGCCACACTCCATGGAAACATAAGTTAGGCTTATGTATTGATAAGCTGCATATATGGGTACAATTTGGTGAAAATCCCTAGACTGACAAGTATTCTGTGTTTCCCAAGCGATTAAATTAGATTTCAAGAAATTTATGGTTGCCATCGATGATTTCGGCAGATCTCGATTGTTCGAACAGTGAAACAGAATCCGTTTGCACGGGCATTTTAGAATATTTGTCGAGCTTGCATGTTACTAGATTCCACGTGATTAAACCTTCAAATCTGTTGATTTGTTTAATGTTTATGCGGTTCTCCAGCATGTGGTAGTCCTATTGGTTTATAGCTGATTAAACTGTTGCATATTTCAAGTCTAAATTATGCTAATGAGGATTTCAGGGGAGTGTTTTTCTTAGCCCATTCCACTAATTTTTTTAAATCCATGCTTTGAAATTCACTATTGGTAAAAGTAATTGTCTTTTCTAATTTACTTACGCTGAAAATAGTGGAAATTGTCGTCAACATAACTAGTCTCAAATTTAAAGTGGAACGCTTGAATAACAGTTAACATTAATCATTCCGTTATCAAGGCAGAAATCAGTCTAGATTTTGCTGAACACAGCAGTTTTTGAGTTTCACACATACACTTTTCTTTTCAGTTGAATGTAAGTGGTTATGAACTGGATAATTAATACTGAATGGTTCATTGTGTATTTTTGAAATTGTTATCATCGTGGCTGCAGTTCACGCCATTAGACTCTTTGAGATACTAAGAATCAGTGGTGATAGGCTGTCTGCAAATATGACTAAACTAACAACTGACAACACTGAAAACGTATTCATTTATTCGTATCACTCAATCAGAAAATTCGACAGACAGCTTATAGATAACACTAGGCTTTACGTTATACGTACGTAGGCATTTATACATATAGAAGAGTTGCTTTTAAGTAGAAGTCCTCTGAAAGATAAATTTCTCCCCTTTCTCGGAAGAAAGAGGTGTATTACATGCAGAAGAAATTTCAGCAAAATTATGTACATATGGTTGTTAATGACGGATAATTTTGATGTATATTTGATCATTAAAAGTACGGATGAAGTATTCTGTTCATAACAACAACAACAAAAACTATTTACACATTCTCCTACAATCTACATGTTCAGTCATCTAAAACTATTCTGTGAAACAAACGATCTGAAAAAAAAATGATTACAACCCACTGTTCACATATTTGCTTTCATCCTGTCATTCTCCTTTCTTCTGATTCCTGGATTTTGTTTATGTAAGCATTTTTTGATGCACACTAACAAGATCTACTATATACGTTTTTCTTTCACCTATCATCTTTCACGTCAGCTTTCATTGTCAGATAAAATATATGAATTATGGAATTTAAAGCCCTCCAAAGGCTGTTTCATATATATCAAATTTTCTTAGATTTATACTGGTATGTTAAAAAGAATAATTTCGAATCCCCTTTTTACAATCCAACCTTTTAAAAAATATATATCGTTTTCACAGAGGAACTCAGGTATGATGAATGAGTATTAAGTCTCATAAAATATAAATGAATTCCGATAATTTCTCCCTAAGTAGGCACTTATCTGTTGGACGAGGAGAGAAAGCGCCAGGTAAACCGTCTCCTTAATGTACTTAGTGCTCCCTTGGAAAAACATTTGGCAAAATATTCATGACAGAAACAATTCTATTTATAACTCCAGGATCAAGGACAAAAAAGTTCCATTTAGGTAAAAACCTTCTCAGTCTCTTTGATAAGCTTCCGTTTAACCTGTCCATATTCTACACCCTTACGATATAAGAAAACGAGATACAGACCTTAGCATAACGAAAGCCTTAGTGTAGTATATAACTATGGACTTCGTCTGTGAAGTGGCAACAATACGCAACGTATGGAATTCGCACATGTCAGACTGTTACTAAATGAAAATATCATTGAGACTAAAGCAGTTTAAATGCTCACACATAACAGAACAGCTATACATTGCATTACTTTATACTGGTATTCCATCTTATATGCTACGAAGGGCTGAATTTTTAAAGTAAGACCTCGCACAAAAATCTGGCATTTTAAGGCACCACACTCCAATTCAAGAGAACTATATTGATAGGAAATGTATGGGTAAGAGAGATATATGGAGAATAATAAGAATTTCACGATTGTGAGGTATGTCATGATTAGTCTATAACAATTTCATCATAGTGTCTCGAAGACTTTATCTGTAAAGTCTAAATCTCCCTACGTGGCTCAAACGAACACTCGAACCTCTCATAAAGTAATGCCTTGTTTTGATTTGACCACCGCCAACTCCTTTCCTGTCTGTTTCCATGTCACTTAACATTCATATATTTATTCTTCTTTATGAACTTGAATAAAGCACTAACAACAACCTTGATATGATTATGAGCAATAAATTGTGCTGTAATCGTCATCAGTAAATATTATTGTATAACATTATGAGGCTTTATCATAATACAACTTTAATCTGTTATGAAATTATATTGAACCACAGTGATTGAGTTCTATTCGTTCTGTGCGTCGGTGGCACAGTGGTTAGGACTCTCGCCGACCATACACATGGTCCGAAGTTCGATCCCCTGCCGACGAACACCTGATATCTGTGATCAGCCTGCAAAATTTGGGCTACCGATATCACATGCTGAAAATTCCATACTTGTACCGAAAATACGGTGTGGCATCAAGCTGTAAACAAAATTAAAAAAATGTAAATACCAATAGTATATGCAGAATAAGGTGATACCATCATTAATTTGTTGGCTTCTCGTCAGCTGCTTACCAAATACAGGAACATACCTGCAATTTTTACATGTTGTTAATTGACAGAGTTCAAATTTAAACAAGTTAAAGCCAAAGATTAAGTAGTCAATTGAAAGGGAGAATGAAGACGTTCAGTAAACAAGGCGAGGAAATACTGATATCTTCTTCCTTCTGAACACATAAGTCAGGTTTCAGGAATAGTTCACAGAAGACTGATTGCGTCACTAGTCGGAGTCTATCCTGCATTTAGCTTGGACAACATGCTCTTTGGTACAATCAAAAGCTGACAGATAGTCTTATCGAATTAATTCTGTGTATGCAAATTTACATGTATCTGAGGGAGCAGTTACATTGAGGGAGCAGAAAGGACGGCATACCTCCGATTTTCTGAATATGTACCAAAAAGCCTACATCTCAGGGGAACAAACGCTATAAGATATCTCATCAATGAGGGTCATGGAGTGGACATCACGAAATCCTTTAAAATAATCAATAAACAAAACAGCTCAATCCTCCACAAGTCCGCAGAAGCGATCGCTGCTAAACTTTTGAAACCCGACTTATGTGTTCAGAAGGAAGAAGATATCAGTATTTCCTCGCCTTGTTTACTGAACGTCTTCATTTTCTCTTTCAGTTGACTACCTAATCTTTGGCTTTA